CATGCTATAACATAGATGAACCTTGAAAACATGCTAAACAAAAGAAGCCAGTCACGAAAAACCATGTATTACATGAAGTGTCACAATAGGCGAATCTATAGAGACAGAAAATTAATGGTTGCTTAAGCAAATGGGGAGAGACTGCTAACAGGCAAGAGATTTTTTTGGATTAATGAAAATATTCTAAAATTGATCACAGTGATGACCGCACAACTCTGTGAATACACTAAAAATCAACCAAATGTGCATTGTAAATGGGTGAATTCACTCTTGTTAATTCAACATGCTTGATGTTTCAGTTCTAGATCAAAGTCTTAGACGCCATCATTAATGTTCTTGCTACTAAGCAAAACTGAGACTATCAGTTGTATCAAAATCCTTTAGGCTGGATTTTTATGTTTGGCTTCTTCACGCAGCATATTTTCAAGGTTTTTTAAAAAAATGTATTTATTTATTTATCTTTTTTAGAGGGTAAGGGAAGGAGAGAAGGAGAGAAATATCAATGTATGGTTGGTTGCCTCTCATGAGTACCCTGCTGGGAACTGGCACTGCATGTGCCCTGACTGGGAATCCAACCGCGATTATGTGGTTCGCAGGCCCACACCCAATCCACTGAGCTACACCAGCCAGGGCTTATTTTCAAGGCTTTATCTTATGTTGGCATTTCCAATTCATGAACAAGGGATGTCTTTCCATTTGCTTAAATTTCCTGTAATTTCTTTCAGCAACTTCTTATAGTTTTCAGTATATAAGCTTTATGCTTTCTTGCTTACATTTATTTCCAAGTATTTTATTCTTCTTGATTCTTTTCATTTTCAGTGTTTTCATTGCTGGTGTACAGAAAGGCAAGTGGCTTTCACTCTGACCTCATGTCCTACAACTTTGTGAATTTACCAGCCCTAACGGTTGTTATGTGCCCTCTTTAAGGTTTTCTAGGTATCAATCATGTCCTCTGCAAATAATTTTAGAAATTATTTATAAACATTTGCTATTTAGAAATAATCATAGAAATAATTTTATTCTTCCTTTCCAATGTCTTTTATTTCTCTCTCTTGCCTGACTGCACTCGGTAGAACGATGAGGAAAATGCTGTGCAGAAGTGGCACAAGCAGACATCCTTTCCTGTCCTCACCTGAGGTAGAAAGCACCCAGTCTTTTCACCAGAGTAATGTTAGTTGTGGGTTTTCATAGATGCCCCCCAATGGACTGAAAAAGTTCTCTCACACTCCTAGTTTAAATACTTTTTAAAAAATTTAAAAGAGATTTTTAAAGAGAGGAGAAGGGAGGATTTAGAAAGAGAGGGAAACATCAATATGCGAGAGATGCGTCTGATCGGGTGCCTCTCACACGCCCCCAACCAGGGACCTGGCCTGCAACCTAGGCATGTGCCCTGACTGGGAATCGAACCAGTAACCTTTGATTCATAGGCTGGCACTCGATCCACTGAGCCACACCAGCCAGGGCTTAAATACTTTTTTTTAAAACTCATGAATGGGTTTTGAACTTTGTCAAATATCTTTTCTGCATCTACTGAGACTATTTTAGGTTTTTTCCCCCTTTACTCTTTGATATGATGTATTACACATTAAGTTTCACACGTCAAACCAACGTTGCACTCTTGGTCATGATATATAATTCTTTATATGTACTACTATTTTGTATCTGCCAGTGTTTTGTTGAGGATTTTTGTGTTGTAGTCTTTTTTACTTATGATTATCTTTTCCTGACTTTGTTATCAGGGTAGTAACACTGGTCTCACACAGAATGAGTTAGGAAGTGTTCGCTCTTCTATGTTTGGAAGAAATTGAGAAAGATTAATGTTAATTTTTTTAAACATTTGGTAGAATTTACCAGTGAAGCCGGTAGCCCTGGGCTTTCCTATGTTGGAGGTTTCTTTTTTTAAATATATTTTATTGATTATACCATTAGTTGTCCCATTTCCCCCCACTTCATTCCCCTCTACCCTGCACACCCCTCCCCACATTCCCTCCCTTTAGTTCATGTCCATGTGTCACATGTTCTTTAGATTCTATATTTCCCATACTATTCTTGCCCTCCCCCTGTCTATTTTCTACCTACCGTCTATGCTACTTATTCTCTGTACCTCCCCCCCTTCTCCTCCTCCCACTCCCCTGTTGTTAACCCTCCATGTCGTCTTCATTTCTATGGTTCTGCTCCTGTTCTACCTGTCCTCTTAGTTTGCTTTTGTTTTAGGTGTGGTTGTTAGTAACTATGAGTTTGCTGTCTTTCTACTGTTCATATTTTTTATCTTCTTTTTCTTAGATAAATCCCTTTAACATTTCATATAATAAGGGCTTGGTGATGACGAACTCCTTGAACTTGACCTCATCTGAGAAGCACTTTATCTGCCCTTCCATTCTAAATGAAAGCTTTGCTGAATAGAGCAATCTTGGAGGTAGGTCCTTGCCTTTCATGACTTTCAACGGATCAGGATCTCTGTTGGAGGTTTTTAATTACTAACTCACTCTCTTTTATTGTCACAGATCTATTCAGATTTTCTTTCTTCTTGAGTCAGTTTTAATAGTTTGCATATTTCTAGGGATTTGTCCATTTCATCTAGGTAATTTTCCAGCATACAATTATTCATTGTATTCCCTTTTAATTCTTTTTTCCTGTAAAATTATTAGTCACATCTCCTCTTTTATTCCTGATTTTAGTAATTTTATTTTTTCCTTTGTCAATGTAGCCAAACATTTGTCGATCTACTGTCTTTTCAAAGAGTTAAATTTTAGCTTGATTTTATTTTCTCTGATTTTCTTACATCCTTTACTTCTGCTCTAATCTCTATCATTTCCTTCTTTCTGCTTGCTGAGTTTAGTTTGCTATTTTTTCCTACTTTCTTAAGGTGGAAGCTTAGGTTATTGATTTGAGATCTTTCTTCTGTTTAAGATAGGTGTTTACAGCCCTGGCTGGTGTAGCTCAGTGGATTGAGCACAGGCCTGCGAACCAAGGGATTGATTGAGGTTCGATTCCCAGTCAGGGCACATGAGTGGGTTGCCGGCTGGTTCCCCCAGCAGGGAATGCATGAGAGGTAACCATACGTTGATGTTTCTCTCCCTTTCTCCTTTCCTTCCCTTTCCCCTCTAAAAGATGAATAAATAAAATCTTTTAAAAAAATTTTTTAAAAAGGTATTTACAGTTACCAATTTCCCTCTGGGAGCACCTTTCAACACTCCCAAAGTTTGAGTCTATTGTGAATTTTCCTGCTGTTCTTCTTTCTACTTTTTCTACTTTCTACTTTCTAATTTTCTACTTTCATTCTATACTGTCATCAGAAAAAATACTTTGTATAATTTTAATCTTTTAAAATTTAATGAGACTGGTTTTATAACTCAACATATAGCCTATGCTGGCATACTCTTTGTGTACCTGAGAAGAATGTATACTCTGCTGTTTTGGGGTCGAGTGTATTGTAGGTATCTTATGAGTCTAGTTGGTGTAGAGTTTATATACGTAGTATATAGTTCAAGTCTTCTAGGTCCTTGCTGATTTTCCATCTAGCTGTATTCCGATCATTTGCTTTTTTCTGCTATATAATTTTTTATGGTGGTAAAGTACACATAAACAGAACATTTATCACTTTAATCATATGTAAGTGCACAGTTCAGGGGCATTAAGTACACTTAACAGTGTTGTGCAACCAGCACCAGTGCCCACCCCCAGGACATTTTTTGTCTTGCATGAACCGAAACACTATTCTCTCCAGACAATAGCTCCTCACTGGCCCCCGCCCCAGCCCCTGTCCCCACCATTCCACTCTGTCTCTAGGAATCTGACTACTCGTACAACAGGACTCGTACATATTGGTCCTTTTGGGTATGGTTTATTTCATTTAGTACAATGTCTTCAACGTTCGCTGTCTGTAGCACGTGTTAGAAGTTCTTTCCTTTTCAAAGATGAGTAATATTCCACTGCATTTGTGAACTGCATTTGTTTATCCATGCACTAGACCCTGGGATTGCTGCTGCCTTTGGGCTGCTGTGGAGAGTGCTGCTGCGGGTGGGTGTGTGAACCGCCTCGTCCGGCCTGCGCGTTCAGTTACTCGGGGTAGGCATATACGCACATCAGAAGCAGGACTGCTGGATCATACAGTAGCTCTGTGCTTAATTTTCTGAGTGAACACCATCCTTTTTTCTCTAACCACTGCAGTGCACAAGCGTTCCAGCTTCTCATCCTTGCCAATACTACCAGTCTCCTTTGTATCTAATGGAGCTGGAGACATGTGGACACTTAGCAAACCCTCACTGATTAGTATGACTTTCTGAGAACTGCAAGTTCATTCTCATGTTTTATTTCTGTGTGCATATTTGCACCGAAATATGAAATGACAATTGAGAACACTGGCTGCAGGCTGGGGAGAGTCTCTGTAACTAAAACCATATGCGAGGACACTGAAAATCTAAACTATACTTTTCATCAGTCTAATGAACATATTTTAGAGGTTTCTATTGTGTGTCGAATGAGAATTTCTTCTCCAAATACCATGCTTCACATAAGATAAAATATTGAGAGGGGAAAGAGGGACAGACAGACAAGAACAAGGGAGGAAAGTAGGCTATTAACACAGTCCAGATGTGAAATGATCAGGGCACCACCCAGCACAGTAGGAAGGGGGAAATGCTGTGGAAAACGACTTAGCTGAAAGAAAACTTCAAACATAACAATTAAAATATTAAACTAAAATGAACATATCTTCACTGTTAGTCCAGAAGAGGAGACCTCAAAGAAGCATTTAACCAGGACTTAAATAAGAAAGTGCTCTAGTAGCTGAATAAGAGTACTACAAAGATTAACCACTCTGGGAAGGTAAGAAACTTAAGTGACACACCACCAAATTCACAGTAGATTTTCAATGTGTAAAACGTATTTCTGAAATTCAGTACAGGACCTGTCATTTCTAACATGAGATATGTAACAAACAGGACCCTCTAGCATTTGATCTGGCAATTGCTCACACAGGACAAAAGAACTGCGGTTACCTGGTAGCCTTCTGTTTTCTTCTGACACCACTTCAGCAAAGCATTCCTCTTTGATCCTCCATATTCTCTTGCCAATGCTGAGAGAGGGTCCTTCCTTTCTTCCCTGATAAATAAAAATAAGAAACCCAAAGTTGAGATATTTTTTGTTTGAGCACCATTATAAGCCAAAAATCCAATAAACAGAAAAGACCAATGTTAGTCTGCATTCTTAAATAGGGCAAGTGGACGTACTAAGGCGTCCAAAGGTGACCTGTACCCTTTCATTCATTTGCTTTTTCCCATGAACTTTTACAGGGTCCCCGAGACCCGCCGCTGCCAGGACTTCCTGCTGTCCATAGAAAGGGGCTCTATTTGTCACCCACACAGAACAGGAGAGGACTCAGGACAGCAGACACTCGCAACTAAGGGAAGGTGTCCCAGGCTGCCCAGGAGGGGGAACAAGCCAACGTTGGCAGCATCTGAAAACCTGTACGGCTGCCTTTCACGCAACCCCTGCCCTTCCACAGTCTTCATGCTCTGCTTTTATTCTATTCATTTTTGTTCCAACCCTTATGCCTATAATCATTTCACCTTTAAAAATAGTTTATTATAAATACAAAGGACAAGGTTATGCAAGAAGAAATATAGGCATAATTTTCTGCCTTCCAGGTGCTTACTATTAGGAGAAGCAAGTAAGACAAAAGATGGCAATGAACCTTAAAACAGCCATAAAATATCTCAGATGTGTTTACTGCCGAGCTGCACACCATCGTCGCAGGTAGTCAGATGTTAACCTCACACAGAAAATGGGATTTTTCTGTGAACTCGCTCATCCAACACCCTGCTCTTGAGCTGCGCCAGGTGAGGTGTCACTGCCAGGCAAGGGGCTGTGAGCAACACAGGGGCCTGCCCTTCAAAGAACTTCAGAGCTCACTACAGAATGGGCATACTATAAAAGCACAAAAAAAAATCAATTAACTCATTTTAAAAATTATATGGAGGACACTTTAGAGTGCTATTAATTGACTTGGACGAAGAATAAACATCCTGCCCCAGACGAGACACTGAATCAAAAAAAGATTTGGTGACAGAGCAGGGGAAGCACACGCCCTGCTCACCCAACACCAGGCCCCGTCCCGCGGCTGCGACAGAAGGAGAGCAGAACGTTAGGGACTCCTGGGGGCGGGTGCTTTGTAAAATAACCTGCTTGCTGACAAATGGCACAGTCGTAAAAACTTGGTCTATTTTTTAATGCTTGCTTTATAAGGCAGAGATTCTAGTCCCAAGTCCCATAAACTTAGTCCAATTAAGTGCCCTAGAGGTTATTACATTACAAATGGCTTAGTATATTCTTCAGCACTCTAATTTCTGTCTGTATTTACTCTTCAGAATATGTTAGGAAATCAAAGAACACACATTTAGAACTAAAGCTTTTCCAATAGATAAGTGCACTGAAATAGCACCAATTTTTAGAATCAAAAGTAAAACATAAATATACTTCAACATGCAGTTAAGACTGCTGCCTTGAAGAAATATACTTTTGTGTCCCTATACCAGCCTGCCAGAATCCTGCTTTGGTGTAAAGGGTTCAAAGAAGTTTGCGGTAAGACTGCTGAACACAGAAAAAGAGAAGGAAAAATAAAGATAAAAAATTTAGGATCCATAAATGATTGCTAGAGTCCCCCAACCAAAAAAATCTCCATTGTGCTTAAAATTAACTATTATAATCAATGTGAAAAGTTCACTCTGGCTCACAACAGGTCTGTTTTATTATAGAAACAGTATAAAAAGCGTAAAGAAAAAATAAGCGCTATGGACACAGTAAGAAGCTACAGAAAAGAGCCTCCTAGAGCTGGAGGGTTATCTCTTAAAATTCCTTCACTGAAAGACGAGGAAACTAAGACCAGGACACAGCTTCTCAGTGGGGGAGCCAGGAAGAGTGGGTGCCCTTCCCAAAGGCACAAAGACAGTAAGAACAGCGCCCTGTGTCAGCCAGGGCAGAGTGCAACTAATCCTCACTATTGCACCCCTACTTGCTCCAAAGGTGCACTGCTTACCTGACCACGATTCTAAGAGGTTGGTCCCTTAGACTCAGGGCTTTACTTTAAAAGTAACATACAGCAGTGGCTGGTGTGGCTCAGTGGATTGAGTGCTGGACTGAGAACCAAAAGGTCACTGGTTCAATTCCCAATCAGGGCACATGCCTGGTTGTGGGCCAGGTCCACAGTTGGGGGTGTGCAAAAGGCAGCCAATAGGTGTCTCTCTCATCATCCTTCCCTTCTCTTCTCTCTAAATAAATAAATAAAAATCTTTTTTTGTTTAAAGTAAGTATAGCCCTGGCTGGCGTAGCTCAGTGGATTGAGCATGGGCCTGTGAAGCAAAGAGTCGCTGGTTCGATTCCCAGTCAGGGCACATGCCTGGGTTGCAGGCCAGGTCCCCAGTGGGGGACATACGACAGGCGACCACACACTGATGTTTCTCTCCCTCTCTTTCTCCTTCCTTTCCCCTCTCTCTAAAAATAAATAAAAAATATATTTTAAAAAGTATATAAGTACTTTTAGTACTATAAGTATATAAGTATAAGTATATAATTGGAGTCTGAGAGGCCAAATGTCCATTTTGGCCTCAGACCTGTAAGTTATTATATCACTACATTTCTGAGACCTGTCCCTACCCCACCTCTAATTCCTAACAGGTCATAATTGCTCTGAATTCCCCTTTATGTTTAATTCCTCCTGTTTTTCCTCGTTCCTATAAACAGCGTATGCTAAATTTTTACATCTACTGTTTCCTTCTAAACTATAAATACTTCTTAGTCCCAAGTAACTTCTGATATAAGAGAAATAGGAATATAACATAGTATTGCATTTTCATGTATTGTTTCTCAATTATTAACACAGCCTCACATTCTAAGCATCCAATCTACACAATTAGAGCCCTTTGATAGCTCTCATTCTTTTGTTCCTTTTTTAATTAATCATACTTCCCTTTGAAAACCCCCGAGTCCTGCCCATTCCCACTGCTGCCCCCTAGGTCCGGAGTGGATAAATACCCGTTAGCTGCTTTCCTCAGCTTTGGCTCAGAGCAGAATGATCCTCGCATCATCTCACACTGATTTATTCTCCCCACTTGGTAGCTGCTGCCACATCAAAGTGATTCAATTTGACTTCAAAGAGGTTCCCCTGCTCAGCCTCAGCCCACAGGTCAATCTTTTCCCCCTGCCCCGGAAATGGTAGGCGCATACCTTCCTTGGGTTTTCTGGGCCCGTCCTCTCTGTGCACCATCCCCTCCCAGCTTACTCATCCTTTGGGGACATTCACTCAAGTCACTGGCCTTGACAATAATGTCTACCCTCCCTCCCCACCCACAACCCTCAGGCCCCACTCAAATTCCACTTTTCTAATCTTCCCTAGCAGCCCACCCACAGCCCCAGTATTTGAATTTCACAACAGTTACTTTCATATTCAACCACTCTCTAATTCAAAAACCAACAACAGAAACAGAAACACCAGCTGCTTGGGGAACGAAATGCTTTCTTTAACTTTGTTTTACTTCTATACCATCTACTCAATTCCGGGCACAGAAGAGGAGATCAGAAAATACTTAATAACACACAGGTTAAAAAATACATCAGTGCTTGAATGCATCACTTTATAACTTAACCATTTACTCTTCGAAGGCCAGGAAAGGTGTATGCACGAAGTGTGTCAGGACTAACTGTTCTCTACCTTATCCGGCTGCGGGCGGTGGGCGTCACGGACGCTGTGGGCGAGGAGGAGAGGGAGAGCTGTGGCGACGTGGTGCCCATGGCCATGAGAGAGGCCGGTGATGCTCCCTCTGGTGCAGAGATGTCTCGTTTCATCTCTTCGCTACTTCGTCGAGACACTGCGGAAGTAACCATTGTGCACGTTATAGCAAAAACATTTTAAACTGAGTTCTTGAGACATTCCTCCCATAGTTTCAAAACAGAGTATAAATTAGCACACAAGAGGAAAAGCTAAAATTTTCTTTATCTCACTGATATGTTGAAAGAATTTCTTATTTTTTTCATTAAAAATATAAGAAAGGGACAGGAGTTGAAATGCGTGTGAACCCCACATGCCCTGACTGTAGGCAGCGTGTCTCCCCACCCCTGTAACACTCAGGGCGCCGACGCAGCACATGGGGGGCACTCTGTAAAGGCTCGTCCCATCATGAAGACCACCAGAACCAAAGGCAGCACTTGAAAACTACTCATTCTCCACTCATGTCAACCTGACTCTTCTACTCAGCCAAAAACTCGTGAAAGGGTCATAGAAGAGGATTCAGGCCATCAATGAGACAGAAAACCAACAGTCGTCGAGTCAGCTACTGAGAAATAAAAACGATCAGAAAAGCCCTACTTTGGAAGCCTGGCACAGTCAGACGGCGCGTCTTGCTGGACTCACAGAAAAGTGCTGAGAACTGTTGGGCAGGAAGCAGCCACTTCAGCCACTGAGAACAGAGCCACAGTGAAAGCGGCTTCCTAGCAAGGACGCGCGGAGTACTAGCAGGTGCTCACAACGTCGGGCTGAGCTCAGTGAGAAGTGAGATATGAGACAAAGTTCCTGACTCCAAACACTCTCTCTTACCTCAGAAGATGCGGGATATGAGGGAGCCATTAACTGTATCACCGCAGGGCTGGTTGTAATGCAATCGGTGTTATGCATCAACAATTTCCCATCAGTGAAACTACCTCCCTTTCACTAGTTAAAATTCTCCTGATGATTTCAGGATGACCACAAGCTGAATACAGCACTGCCTTAGAAAAGTGACGTCTTTAAAGATCCAGGAGACAGATGCTTTCTCCTACTACGGGATCTTATTAGAATAAAATGCACTTTTGAGGCACTTACATATTCTGACATGTTTTATAATTAGTTTTTTTCTTTCAATGTCAGATCTCTCTCTGCCTCAAATCAGCAGCACCTTTTGTGGTATGCTAGGAAACTGAATGAGAACACTTTTCATAGCTTTATATAAAACAGGAAAAACAGACTGAGGAAGAACAGGAAGCACTGTTACAGGAAAAGGCCCTGCAACCTGGCCTTTGTGATGAGCCCTGTGGCCAGACTCCCCGCCGATCTGGAGACCCAGCTGTGATGAATAAGAACTGCCTAACTGAACTCCATGTATAAGTGGGACGTTAACTGCAGGGGAGAGAATACAGAATTTCTCCTTTCGTAGTCTAATTTCTATTAGTTGAGCTACTAAAAGTTAAGAAAAGACCACCAAAGGAAAACACAAAGAACTGATAAACTCAAGAGTTACCCCCAGGAGACAAATGAAGTAAGCCCATGAAACTCATCGTTACAGAAATGGCTTACCACTCCGTCAAAATCTGGCCTCCGGAGAATCTTGGGTGTGCTCTGACACAACTCTCCAGCAGCCACGGCACACCGCGGGGAGATTTCAGTCTTTCACAACCACATCCGGTTTGTAGCGTACCTTATCTCCAGCACATCATCTAACCCACTCTAGGCATCTAATAAATAGTTTTAAATTTTTATTCTTTTTTTAATTTTTGAAATTTCTTTTTTTTTAAAGATCTTATTTATCTTTAGAGGGGAAGGAAAGGAGAAAGGGAGAGAAATATCAGTGTATGGTTGCCTCTTATGCATCCCCTGCCGGTAACTGGCCTGCAACCCAGGCACGTGCCCTGACTGGGAATTGAACCTCCATCCTTTGGTTCACAGGCCCGCGCTCAATCCACTGAGCTATACCAGCCAGGCTAATAAATACTTCTGAAATGAATGGAACTATTTAGTTTTTGTCTTTTTAAGTCAGGGCCATATGACTTCTATAGAATCTGAAAGGTATAATAGGGGAAATTCAGAGTGAAAAATAGTCAACTTAAGAGCTAAAGAGGCAAGTGAAATTACCTAATTCTAAGAGGAAGTATTCAACACCATTACTGAAACTGCTGGAAGATTCTTTTTAAAGGAAATTCTGAACAAAAGTCATTACCTGAGATGGTCTTGGCACTTTCCATGGCAGGTACTCTTGGCAGAGAAGCAGGTCGGCTGGTTGAAGATGTCCTTAATAGATGCTCTGCACAAAGAGGAAAAGGTCACGATAAAGAGACCCGACACTGAACACTGATGTAACAGAGGCAGTAAGAAGGTGAGTTTCACTCCTCTCAGCCTCGCAGCTCATCTCCTTTCCCAGTCAAGGGCACTTCTACAATCCCCCCAAAGAGTCTACTTACACAAAATGACTTCCATAGACAAAGGACACAGAAAAACATTCTGTTCAATGTTTTATTTCTAGAGATGAGACATTTGACACAGATGAAAATGCTTCTAAATCACCAACTGCTCCTTACCTCTTTGATGCAATTCAATCAAAATTCACAGATTCCCTATTGCATCTAGGTCTAAAAAGTATAAGCTAAATGAAAGCCTTGCCCTGTACCACACAGTTAGTGGGGAAGACACACACACACACACACACACACACAAACAAGTCAGGATGGAATTAATTAGAATACTAGAATGATAAGAGCTATCAAACCACACAGAGAGAAGCCATTCACTTTGATTTCAGGAAGAGGGAAGGCTTCAGAAGCATACTGTAATGACAAGCTGGGCTTTACCAGTCGACAAGAGTGGGTACTGCATTTCAGCCAGACAATACCCAAAGCAAAGATACAAGGACATTCAAGTTGAAGGATAATAAAATCCTAGTATGGCTAAAACATGGGCACATGGAAGACAGAGAAGATAGCAGGAAAAAGGGCTTCAGAGGGTAGACGAGGCTGACTGATGAGAACCTTCACTTCCTGGTACGTGGACTTGGGTCTAAGGGCAACAAGGAAGAACAGACATTTCCGAACGTCGGGGAAGGACGCAGTCAGACACAGCCCCAACTGCCTGTGTGTTTGCAGCCTCACCTGGTCCTCCTCCTCCCTCGTTCTCTAAACAAGAGCTGTCTAGGGAGTTTGAGTCCCTTGGACACTGGCACAAGCTGTCCTCATGTCCTCTGTACTCCTCCTCCTTTCCCTCCTGGCTACCTGTGCATCCTACAGGTCTAGTTTCCACATGGCCTCCTCGGGACCTGCTGCCCAGGGTGGGAGCCCCCGAGCACAGATCGGCACACTTTGTGCCTAAGGCTACAAGCCCAACATGGCTGTCATCAGGCCAGGCTGCCAAGCGAGAGGCCAGAGTGGATGTGTTCTGCTTGGCCGGGTCTATTAGGGATGTGTGGTTAGGATGAAGGGGAACACCACCTTGTACACTTAATGAAGACTGTTAGTCTCACTGACCAAGGAAGTCCCTGCAGCTAACAGTCCCTAAATCTTGCCTTTCCCCTTTTTAAAAAGGGGGAAGGCAAGATTTACCGCAATTCAAAGAGCTGATTCAACACCTCTTTTTAAGAACCAATGATTTAAAATACACCTCCTCTTGTTATATCATGGTGTCAAAAGTAATGGCATATGACATTATCTTTCAGGGACAGCACGTCTTTTATTTTAAAATTTACTTTCTAAGCAAATGAGGAACATCTGGTTGTAATTACAAACTACTTGGAGGGGAAGGGATTAGGAAGGATGAACTCACTTTCTTAATGCATATAGGATTTATATAGCCTAGTCATTACATCTGTCTGGTCGAGAACAAACCTCACTTCTGTGCAAAAAACCTACATCAATCAGAATTCTGAACCTGTCAGCACCAGGCATTCATCCTCCCAGGAAGAGTATTTTTATGCACGAAGTCTGACAGATAAAACAAAGTTAGTAGCATTCAGAAATAGTAGGAAACAGAAATCGACATTTTCAGCCCCAGCTGGTGTGGCTCAGTGGATTGAGTGCCGGCCTATGAACCAAGGGGTCACTGGTTCGATTCCCAGTCAGGGCACATGCCTGGGTTGCGGGCCGGGTCCTTAGTGGAGGGCACGGAAGAGGCAACCACACACTGATGTTTCTCTCCCTCTCTTTCTCCCTCCCTTCCCCTCTGTCTAAAATAAACAAAATCTTTAAAAAAATTCAACATTTTCAATGTAATTGAATTTTCTATTTTACAATTATAAAACTGGTTATTCCCCTAAATCTTAATCTCCCAAAGAATGCGGCAAATGAAGAAAACGGAAAACAAAGGCCGTCGGGACTTGTGAATCAGAACTAGAGTGTTGGCTGTGACGTGGGCCTCGTGCGGCCCCACAGGGAACGCATCTCCGAGCCGCCTCCTCCCCGCCCCACTCACACGGTGCTCGGGGCACCCGACGGAAACAAAAGCTCCTGCAGCGCCCTGTGTCCGCGGCCCAAACCGGGCTGCGACTTTTTCTTATTTCACGTCTAAGGACCAAGAGTGTTTCAACTTGGCAGACACTTTCTGAAAATATACAAAATGTTACGTATTTCATGGCCCTCATTTAAATAGCCCCCATAGATTATTCTTTTCAAAATTATTTGTGGTAACTTTCAACTGGCACAATACAGCCTGCTCCCATTTCACGAAGCGTTTTCACTGGGAATCAAACAGGCGCCCAGAGGTGCCCGTTACAGTAAGAACACACGTGCCCGCCCACAACTGTAGTGGGCCAGCTGGGTTCCATCCTCATGTCAAACTGCTGGTTATCCGTACTCAGGAAATAAGATCAGTGCAGTGCAGCACGCAGAAGAGATTATATTTTATAGTAATAGAGTCTATCTACTGTCACAGGGAGCTATTCTTGTCTTTAATCCATTTATGACACAAAAATGACTTGGGTGCCCACTACTTGCCAGGCACTGGGCTTGGTGCAAAGATCAGAGAAAGGAGGACAGGAGGCAGGAAACTTGCCCTCATGGAACTCGGAGTCTAGAGAAGAAGCCAGACCTTGAAAAACCATTACAAGTGAAGGATGCTGGGGCAGAACAAACACAGGGCTCCAGGAACACAGCAGGGCAGGTGGCCTGCTCTTCAGAGATCTGGAAAGGCCTGCGCAGGCAGTGACTTCTCAGTCAAGACTAGAAGGATAATTACTAGCTTTTACATAGGCAAAGGAGAGTCTGGAGAGGATTTCCCAGTGCACACCAAAAGAAACTCATGGGGCGTGGGGAAGAGAGGAGTGGGCGAGGCTGCGGGCAGGCCAGGAGTGCCGAGCAGGGCAAAGTGTGCAGGCGATGCGGGCCAAGTGAAGCATCTTTCTGGCTGCTTATCATAAATCAAATTTGTATTTATTTTTTCAAAATTCAGTATTCTGAAAAAATTTTATATCTCTATGCCTCAAGTAATATAATCTGGACAGCTAACAGTATGAATTTCTTTACAGAATATTGACTAAACTTAACTTTCTCACATCTCCATGTGTCTGAGCTGGTGGCACACACATGGCAGTCACAAGGCCACACTGGGCACCCCGGGCTCTCCAGTTACCTAAACCCTCAGCTGAGGTCTTCATCTAAGGCTCTGCACCTTTTAAGACTGCGGTGCAAACGGGGACAGTGAAGAACTTTTTGACCACCTGTGTCCACGTGCCCGGTAACAGACCCGGCCTTTCCTGCTTGGGCCACAAACGCTAATTCACGTCTGTCTGTGAAGACTCACCAAGGCGGCATTGATCACGGCCCCAGCCACTTAGCTCAACTGCTGACATTAATAACGAAGGAGCATTTGATTAGTCCATTTGTAATAAGATTTCCCTGGTCTGAAACATTCTCCTGCAACTGACACACAAGAATGATGCTAAAAGAGAACAACAACAAAAAAACACCCCTATTATACTAAACTGGAAAAACAACAACAAACTCTGTAATTTAAGCGTAGTAGAACAAGAGGAAGAACCTTTTCAAATTTCAGTAATGAAGCCACCAAAACTTTCGAAATGAAAATTATAGACTGTTTTTTGATTCATGCCAAGATAAAAGAGACAACCAAGGAAGAAAAGCATTTCAAGACAGAGTTCAGAAATTCTACCCTTATCAGTTTTGTAAGTGGTTTGTCTCGTGACCACATAAGATAAGATCACACTATCAACAAATTCTAAGATAAAAATTCATCTAAGTGTGTTTCCAGTCTGTCTCCTGCATTTGCACCGCTTGCCCTGAACTGCATTAGGCAATATAGCAGACTAAGTGGAGAATCAATCAGACTGGCATTAACACAGACAGACCGCACACACCCCATGCCCAATGGCACTATCATTTGACACATTACCAGATAATACAATGAGGAAAGCCAAAAAAAGATTTGATTCAGCAGTTCCCAGAGATACAACACATTCGGTCTCTGTCTTCAATACCTTGGCCCACAGACCTTCCATTCCCCATTCCCACAAAAGCCAAGGCAATAGGAAAAATGGAACAATAACCCTTGCCTAATTTCCCAAATTTATTCTTTCCTAAAAAACACTCGGGGTCCTTGTGAAAATGAAGTTTCGAAACTCCCTTTCCTGGACAGTCCATGTCAACAGATCTCAGATAAGGCCCAGGATTCCCTATTTCACCGAGTGGCTCCGGTAGGTCTTATTAACAGGTAAGGTTGAGAAACACTGCTGTGCTAGCTTTCCTCGGCCAACTGTGACCTGCTGTGAGCCAATCACGATGAGTCTGGACGGTAGCCACTGAAAGGCGAGAGAGTCCCAAGGGCTGGCTTCAGCCTGGCTTCAGGAGGTTTGGATAGGCCCCGAGCCATTTCTCACTGGAGCACCTCTGCCTTCCTCTGGGGCCGACGGGGGCCTGGGGACTCAGTTTTCTTTGGTGTTCCAGGATCACCTTGATGCTCTCCAGATAGGGGCTGCTCCCACAGGGTTGTCAATGGCTCAGGGTTATACACATTCTCGAAGGCTCTGGTGTCCTGGCTCCTGGCTCCAACTGTAGTTGACTGTGACTGCAGACCAAAAGGCTGACTATGGACAGAACAGGGGCACAGGGGCACACGGAATGGGCAGGGGAGTGGGACTGCTCCTGAACTCTTGGCTTCCATCTTTGCCCTCAATGCAGGCAGCTCTTCTAAGATGCCCCAAACATAATGTGTATCGATGCTTTCTCACTGCCACTAGTGGGCAGCTAAGCAAAACCCTGCAGACCTCGCTTGCTTTGCAATGACCTAAAATCTTTTACTAGTGGACAAGTAAGAGCCATCATTCTTAGCCACATGTGCTACTAAGAAAAAGTTCACAAACTAATCAAATTTAACAGTGAGCATTTACTATGGGCTAAAATTTGTGCTCAGCATATTATATGCTTGAACTCTCTATTTCATTCACTCATCTTATGATTTTTTATCAAGAGCCCAACACTACTATAGTGCTCAGGATGCCCTGACCTGTGGACCTCACAACCTAGGGGAATGGAAGGAAACCATTAAAAGTTACAGATAAGTACACCATACAGTATGTCAGAAGGGATAAATGCTAAATTTAAAAAAGAGAGATCGGAGAAAGAGGTGCATGGAGAACAAAGTGGATTACAATGACAAAATACGGCACTCAGGACCTCACCGAGGGGAGATCTGAGTGAAGCCATGCAGGAGTAAGCCCCGCTCCTGGACAAGCGTTTCGGCAGAGGAAAAGCTAAGTTAGCAGTGTGTCTGAGTGCCCCAGTCGGCAAGGAAGCCCGAGTGGCTGGACAAGAGAGAAAGGTGGTACAGCCAGAGAGGCGACCTGAGGCAAGGCCGGGAGGGTTTGGAGGCCACTAAAGGAGCTCTGGTTCCTCTGAAGGCAACGGGAGCCTGTGGAGGGTTCTCAGCAAAGTGACGCATTCTAATTTCTATTTTTCAGGATTATGCTAGCTGGGATAGCTGGGATGAATAAACTGGAAGAGGGATTAGAAAATCTTTTGCCAGAATCCAGGTGAGAGATGGTGGCGGCTTTGACCGAGAAGATGAGGCGGTAGCGGAGGGAAGAGCAATGCTTTGATTCGGCTATAGTTTGAAAGCAGAACCAGGGGGGTTTCCTAAAGAACCAAACAGGTCTCAGGTACGGAGCCTAAGACATGACTCCAGATGGAAGTAAGAATGATTCCAAAGTTTCTGAAAAACAGAACTGCCATTAACTGAGGTAGAGAAGGCAGATTACATGCTGAACAAGTTTGAAAAATGCAGGAACCTTGTCCTGGACAACCTCAGTCTAAGAACACTCAGCTTCAAAACGGCCATGTCAACTAAACAACCGGATATATGAATCTGGAGTCCAGAGGAAAGGAAAGGGTGGAAATAGAAGTTTGGCAGTTCTCAGAACAAAAACAGCAGTGAAAAGCAGAAAGACACAGGAGGCAATGACAGGATGAGTATGGACAGAGAGCAGATAAGCCTAGGGACTGGGCTCTGGGGCAGACTGCCACTCCCTGGTCAGGGAGGAGGGATGAGCCCAGCCAAGGAGGAAAGGACAGATGCAAGAGCATGGCACCCAGGCAACCAAAATGAACGCCCTGGAAAAGGGAGTGCTCAGCAGAGCCGCACGGGACTGACAGCTCACAGCAGATCAGGACCCAGAGGTGACTGGGGTAGTGACACAGCATGACTGGCAATGTTGACACAAACAGTGTGACAGAATGGGTGCGGGGGAAAGCCTGGCCACAGGGTCTGAGAGAGCTGGGAAGAGGGGACTTAAGGATCCCATGAGCTAGGTGTTTGTGGTTATCCCCGATTTACAGACAAGGAAACAGCACTGAACAGGCTGGCAGGCAGCACATGTGAGGCTGACGATCTATGCACCACACACATACAGAATCCCTGATGGGCCTGCCTGGGAGTGGAAGGTGGGAGCAGGGTTAAGGTATAAAGAGAGACATTAAACCTTCCACTATTTGTTCCTGTAGCAAGAGGACCTTCTATGAGGAGAAAAGGTCAGAAGACAAGGAACAGGGACAGAAAGCAGGTCTTTGTGCAGAAAAAGCAGCAGCAGCACCATCTTCCACTGTCACATCAGTGTGCCCACAACCAGCTCATGGGAACACGTGGGACCCCGGCAGGCACAAGACCAGTCCCATCGCCAACGGAACTCTTCCTGCGAGGGTGACATGTGGAGCCCAGGGAGCCAGTCCTCTGGTTTCTTCAGGGGAAGTACTCTCACAAGTCCACTTGTTCCTTCCCCACCTGTCAAAGCCTTGGAGTCTTACCCAAAAAGCCTAACACCTAGCTTCTACAAGGGAGAGAATGTGTGTGCGCATGAGGCACACACACACGCACAGAAGAGATGTGGCTGCTTCAGCTAAGGGCAGCCCGAGGCTCCTGAGCGACGTGCACCCCTGCCGGGCACCTCTACGCCTCTACACCGACCCCAAATGGAGTGTTGGTCTCACAGCACCGTCCCGGTGCCACAAGCCTTCTTCCAGTGTGGGTAAGAGAAGGGCCCTGACCTCCGAAGGGAAGAAACTCAGGTTCTGGTGCTGGTCTTACCATAAAGAACTGTGTGAAAACGGGAAGCCCGTTCACCAGTGCAGAAAAGAACTGCTGGGCTTCATCTTCAGAGTGTCGGCTTCTTCTTATGAACAATAAGAGATGGCACAGAGACTTAAAAACAGCTTTGGAGTCAGGCCGCCTGGGTCTACCATTCAGCAACTAAACTGACCTACATTAAGATACTTTGTGAAGCCTCAGTTTTAGTATCTATAACATGGGGATAACAATTCTCACACCATGAAAACCTATGGAAACACAGGGCCCGGCGAGGGCAACTCTCTACTACCTCTCACGGTGCTATGAGGGAGCTGTTTTCCAAGATGCGCTTACTAATAACTAACCTCCACATCTGTAATTAAGACATATCATTAGTAAACTTCTGAGAAGGATGTATACCCGACTGGTTTAAATAACGTCAATAACAAAGAAAACAATTTAGTTATCCAAAAAAGGTCAGAATTTAAAAATTAGTAACAACAGTAAAATAATGAAACATATGACATGATGTACCTTGAACAGGGATTTCTCCATAGTTTGGTCTCTTATCTGACAGGGATGTCAGGGGTTTGGATGTAGAAATTGGTCCACTTATGGAATGTCTCTGAAACCACAAGACAAACAGTATCAAAGTTAGGTTAAATCTAGAGCTGGGACTCACCAAGAAAGTTGCAGAGAGTAAATATTTAGTTATGGACTTGCGTAATCCCTTTCAAACGGTTACAAGGCTGACACTAATTCTTCATATTCTCTCTCTCATTTGATCAATAAACCCCTTTAAAAAGAAAGATCCCGTGTGTCCTTCACTCAGTTTTCCTCAAAGATAACATTTTGTAAATCTCTCGTATAACATCGCAGCCGAGACACTGGTGCAGACGGAGTGTTTATCACCCCCCAGGGCTCCTCTTCTGGCCCTTTAACAGTGACAGCTTCCCTCCCCTCTCCCTGAACCCATGTCGAGGGGCCCTGCAACCACTGGTATCCTGATGGTATTCTGCATATGGTATCATCATTTTGTTTGAAGAGAATTCTTAAATATCACATACTAATTAGAGAAATAGATGTGCCCCTATTGCACTTTTATTGGCCATTCAATTCATGCCCTGGTTCTAACCAGATCTCAGTTCTGTCATCCTCCCTCTAGCTCTTCTACTACACCTGCCCTGACACAACCTTCACCGGCTTTGTCACCAGCGTCCTCAATAGTCTTATACACACACCCCTCTGCAAGCAGCCAGAGGTCTTCACCAAATGCTTAAAACCTCTCATTTCTTCTGCTTCATCTCCTGCCCCTCTACGTAACGATACAACTACAGCGAGCTGCTCATTCCCACACACACAGCGCTGTTTACCACCTGTGTGCTCTTTCTCAGGCATATTTCCCAGCTCTCTTATATCTAGCTAACTTCTAACCACACATTTGGTATTCCCAGCAGAAATGTGCGGCAGGTTCGGCGTCTCCACATCCTTGACGGCCCTTGATGTTTTTTCACTTTAGCCATCTCACGGGGTGTGTATGGCTCTCACTGTGGGTTTACTTTTCACTTCCCCCAACTCCTGACACTGAGCATATCTTTATGTGCTTTTTGGCCATTTTTATATCTTCTTTTGGGAAGGGCCTTTTCAAATCTTTTGTTTATTATGTACTAGGTTACCTTCAACCAAGAAGACAAACAAGTTTTCTTTAAATACAAGGTTTTTGATGGGTAACTGCATTATGAATATATTCTCCCCAGTCTATAACATATCTTTTTGTTTTTTCAATGTCTTTCAGAAGAGCTTTAAATTTTTATGCTCAATTTATTCATTTTTGTATGGTTCATTCTTTGTGTGTGTCCTAAATAAATCATTGCCTTCTTGAAAATTATGAAGATTTTCTCTAATGTTTTCATCTAGAAGTTTTGCAGTTTTAGCTATTACATTTAGGTCTACAGTCAGTTTCCATTTTTCTAAATGCCATATGGATATTTACTTGTTCCAGAATGCTTTGTGGGAAAGGCCAACCCTCTCCCGCTGAATTTACCCTGGCACCTTGGTTGAAAATTAAGTGACTTATTTATGGATTACTATCCAGTCTACTGATCTGATGTCCACATTTAAACTTACGTCAGGACCACACTGCCTTAACCACTCGAAGTGCTAAAGCCAGGTAGTGTGAGTCCTCCAACGTGATTCTCTCCCTGCTCCCACCAATATTTAACTTTCCATATAAATTTAAAATTATATTATCAATTTCTACGAATAGCATGCTGAGATCATTTATAACTGGGATTGTGTTAAATTTACAGGTTAATGTGAGGGAGAACTGCAAGATGTGAACAATACTGAGCCTTCCAATCCATGAATATAATTTATCTTTCCATGTATTACTTCATTAATTTCTCTGAGCAATGTTCTATAGTTTTCATCCTATAAGTCATATAATATTTTATTAAATTTATTACTAAGTATTTCAATTTCTAATTGTTCACTGGAGTGACTAGATCTAATAGTACATAAAAGGAATTCTCGAGACAGAAGCTGATCTTTTTTTCTTAACCTTATCTGGTGACACCCATCGTTCCTGCCGTACTCCACGCATCAGAGGTGGGTCTTGGAGCACAGCCAACGCTCCATGGAGCAGACTGCGTGGAGCATGAACACCAGGGGTGCAGATCATGGTGAACCATTTTAGAGCCTGCTCACAGTTACTTCTGGATCTCCTTGATCCTTTTGAGGCTTATTTTTAAGGTCATTTGGGGCAGGTCTAGAATTGTGTTTATACTAGGACTATTTTTTTCCAGTTTATGATGTAGCTCTTGGGGGTTTCCAATGAATGCTCCGAGTATTCAAAGTGGTTTTCCCACAGTGGCTGGTGGGAACTCAAATGAGCACCTGCCCTGTGTGAACTACGGTGAACTGAGGGAAGCATTTGTCTACAGTTCCCTGATAAATGTTCCCTCCTGGGAATTGTTCTTGCACAGCTGGTAGGGTTCACACCACACGTGCTGACCAACATTCAGACAAAGACTCTGCATAGTTCTAGACCCCTTTTCTGCAAAGCTTCTCCTTCCCAGGTACTCTGTCCACAAATTCTAGCACGCTCATTCTCCCCAACACTGAAGTGTGTGTCTCCTCAGATCCAGTGGGTTTCCCCCCATTCCTGCTCCACCTGGGCTCATCTTCCCTGTACCACCACTGGGAGCTGCCAACAGGGAAAGTGTGGGCCGCAGCAGGATTTGACTTATTCCTTACCTTTTCTTTGTGGATCACAGTCTCATACTGCCTGCTGTACAAGGTCTGGATATAACTGCTTCCTGTTATTCTGTCCAGCCTTCTAGCTGTTTGTGGTGGCAGAATAACCAAGCCTGTTACTCCCTCAGTCAGCAGTGGAATTCCTACCCAGGGAATTCTGAAAAACTAACAGTCCCAATCTTAGGACCTAGTCCCCAGAGATTCTGATTTACTGGGATAAGGCCTGGGAACCTATGTGTTTAAAAACTCTCTACGTGATTTTTATGCACAATTAGCTTTGAGAAGAACTGTACTAACTAATTAAGTACTAAAAAGCTACTGAATGTGGCTTGTAGGTATTAGTTTTCTCAAGTTAAAATGAGCTTTTTCACCTCTTATCTTTACAAAGATTTACAAAATGATGTCTTGTCCATTAAACTTCAACTAATACTCAGTTTATTATATTATGCACACTTACTTGGCTTTTATGTATATCTTCAGGTCTTTAGAAGTTTAATTAATAGAGCTCCTTATAGATGAAATATGGAATGCCCTTTGCCTTCCTTCTTAATTTTGCGTTCTACATAAATGTACATGCAAAGCCACTAACTTGAATCATTACAAATGCAGAGGGAGCACACTTTAAACTTTATAAAGAAAAAAGTTAAAAAGTTTACTTACAAAATACATAGCCGGTAGTTAAACAAGCACAAGAGGCTCCACTCAAAGAAAATGCTCCCAAACCCTATTTTTTTTTAGCAAAGAGGTATACCAAAGCGACCCTCTATCACAGGGTAATAGGTTCTAGGCCATTTTTCTTTTGGCTGCTCCAATTTATGTAGAAAAACACTTCAGCCACTCTTCCAAAAGTGGCTTACTAGCAAGGACATACTGAGAGGGCCACTTGAGCCCTACAGGGTGACAACCATCTGCCCTGTTTCTGCTTTGCACTTCCAGGGAGGCAAGGAAGAGCACCTTCGGAACTTGTCTGTAACGGGTCAGCAATGCCCTTGTGCCGGACAGCTTCAAAAGAGCCCGCAATGAACCACACTTCTCTGAGTCCATGCCCTGTGCTAACCCTCCCACCCTGAGTCTAGGGTGGCCTTATGACTTAGACCAAATGAATGGGACAGAGGTAACATGGTCCAAATTCCAAGCCTAGGTCTGCACAGGCTTTGCCAACTTTCACTTTTACTCTCTAGGAGTTTGAGACACCACGCCGTGAAAGAGCCGGAGAGAAAAGACCGCATGGAGAGAGCAGCCCAGCCATGGCTGCTGAGCCCAGGCCCCAGCCCGCCCTCCTGCTGGGTGCAGCTGCTGGGTGAGCCCGGCAGAGCCAGCAGAGAACTGCCTGCTCAGCCCAGAGAAACGTGGAAAACACTAAAATGGCTGTTTTAAGCCGCCAAGTTTTGCAGTGATTTGTTACGAAGTAGAGGCTGAGACATGCCAACAAAACGTTCAACTTAGAGAAGTACTTCAGTATAGTGGGTAAAAGCATGGTCTCTGAAGACACACTGCCCAGGTTAAAATTCCAGCTCTCCCACTTCTTAACTGTATGACCCTCAGCGACGTGCTTACCCTTTTGGGCCTCAGTTTCTACATGTGAAAACTAGGGATAAGAACAGCACCTAACACCCAACAGAGTTGTCATGAGGATTAAATGTGTCAACATTATGGAGCATCTGGAACAATGTAAAACATATAGTAAGAGTTCAGTACCTGTTAGTTATCACTATTGAGATTTTCAGAATTACACATTTATATCATTTATTTCAATTATGGATATTCACCATACTTCAGGGGAAAAAAACACCCAACTACATTCTTCACAGGATGGTCACTAGCCTCCCCCGACCCTGACATAAGCGTAAATGACTTTGAAGGACCACCTTTCACATACTGAGACTCCAGAGCCCCTGCAGTCACAGGCACTTACCTGCATAGGGGAGACAGCTGCTGCAGGGGGGGTTTTCATAGGACTTGGACTGAGAGGGGTTCGAGGAATTGCAGCTGCCGCAGGGGTTGGTACTAGAAAACCAACAAATGAACAAGTACATAATAAATGCATCATGGCACAGTGCAAGCTTTTGTAACCAGTCCCCTGTCACGGGTTCACCAGATCAGCCAATGCTCCCAGCTGCCCTGGAGACTTCCCACACCGATGCCCACCTCCACGGAGCATGCTCGGCCGTGCCCAGTGGCTAGTGCCTCTCCTGCCACCAGGCGGGATTTTTGTTCCCTGGAATAGTTGTGTTTATTTCCAGCCCTGGTTTTGCCAGTCATTTCATTTTTGTTCACTAGTTAACTAAAGGTTAAAGTGCTCCATAAATCAATGAAACCCAAGTACAAAGGAAACCCTGAGAGGAGTATTTCTGTAACCATGTCAGGTGAGAAGCCTGAACATAGTGCATGTGCGCTATCTGCATTAAAGAAGTGAAAGCTGGGCTGCCGCTCATCTCTGCTCACCTCCCCTGGAAGTTTATCACCTCACATGTATTTTCTGGCTTGCATTTATGCATGGGTGTTTGATTATAGGCTCATATGTCAGCTTTCCTCTCTCAACCAAACTGTTCAAAAGTAGGATCCATAATTTATTCACTTCCAGGTACCTTCTAGTAGAGGGTGCAATAGAAATGATTATTCATTGAAGCCACACTGAAATCAAAATGGGACACACCAGTGCAACCAGACACTCTGCATGGGGTAAGATGAAGCAGATCACTGCAGACCTTTTTATGCAGCTAAGTACATATAGCTAGAACTGTTATTTTTAGAGGTATGTTGTCTTAAGATAAAATTCCCATGGTTTAACATTAACCATTTTTAAAGGTGCAGCTCAAGGGCATTTAGGACTGTAATTAGCAACTATAGTTATCCCTACCTAGTTCCAAAACATTTCGTCGCCCCAAAAGGAACTGCAGTGCCTGTTAAGCAGTCTCTCCCCATCCACTTCTCCCCCAGTCCCCGGCAACCACCAAGCTGCTTTCTGTCTCTATGGATTCATCTATTCTGCATATTTCATACCAATGGAATCTTATAACATGTGGCCTTTTGTGTGGGACTTAGCATATTTTCAAGGTTTATCCACATGGTATTGTGTATCAGTGTTTCATTCCTTCCTACTACTAAATAATATTCCATTCTCTGCCTAAACCGCATTCTGTTTATCCACTCATCAGCTGATGGACATCTGAGTTGTTTCCACATTTGCCTGCATACTTACACTCACTTCTTTAAGTATTTAACTAGGAGTGAAATTGCTAGGTCATTCAAATTTTTATTATAAAAAAATTTTAAAGGTCAGTATAGAAACAGATTATCTTTTTGCATTAAAGCCCATTTTATTAATATTTTCAATAATTGCATGATTATCAATTTAGTGTAGAGGTTCCATTATCATTTTATTTTAGAATATACATTTTCAAAGTCCTCTTTCATTTTACCCCATCATATTACACAGAAGTAGCCACTAAGAGCAGCAACGAGTGTATCTTTTTTACACTTTCAATGACAATGTTTGTGCACTTTAAAACAATAAAATGAGCCCTCACTGGTTTGCCTCAGTGGGTGGGGCATCATCTCACAAACTGAAGGGTCACCAGTTTGATTCCTGGGCAGGGCACATGCCCGGGTTGCAGACCAGGTCCCCAGTTGGGGGCGTGTAAGAGACAGACATTTGATGTTTCTCTCCCTTTCTTTCTCCTTCTTTTCCTCTCTCTCTCTCACAATAAATAAATAAATAAATAAATAAATAAATAAATAAATATTTGAGAATGAAACCACACTTTATAATAGTAGTCTTTAATTTGTTATAAAGGATTCCAGACATACTTTAATATCAGTGCTTTGAGATCTACCTCACCCATATTAAAGGATGCACAGTATTCCACTGTATTAATGGGTCATAACTGACAACCACTTTAATAGGCAGTTAAGCAATTTCCAGGTTTTCCATTTTTTTCTAATACTATACTGAAAACGTGTGTGTGTGCATTCCAGTATCATATATACAAACTCTGGGGTCTGTGAATATAACATTTTAAATTGGATGGTATTGATACTCCCTTACTGTACTCCAGAATATCTGTATCAAAAGTGTATGAGTGTATACAAGTGACTTTTGCTCTGATTTTAAGTTAAAGAAACTAACTCTGTGTATAATCCAAGAATACAGATTCTAGAAATTCTATCCTTCTGCGAGTGAATTAGAAAAAAGCCTATCATGACATTAAAAGAATTTCTAGATGAAAACTTCAGCTTTAGGACACAGTACAATGAGTAGTTGTAAAAAACGTCATCCCTTTTCCTTTCTCAGAGCTGAGCAGGTTAGAGGGATAAAAGGAGCCAAGCCCTTGAAGGTGAGGGGGGTGAGCTTCCAGATAGAACAAAGCTTATCCGACACAGAGCCTGGCTCATTTCAGCCACAGGGGCAGCGTAGCTGGCACGCAGAGAGGGGAGGATGAGGGGTCCACCTGAGGTAAGAGGATGGGGGTGGGTCAGATATTCTAGGCATCTGGGAAGCTGAATTTCACTCTAACTCTAATAGTGCAAGTACAGAATTTTAAATAAAAGATCTACCATGGCATAAGACGAGGAGACTAATCAGGAGGTTACTGAAACTAATAGCCGATGGTGGCCTGAACTGGCAGCTCATTGTGCCACTGGAGATGCAGAGAAGCAGACAGGGCGCACATATGCACGTTGAAGGCTGGACGAAGAGGACTCACTTGCTAATGGGTTAGATGTGGAGGTGAGGAGGAAGGGTTTAAAGAAGAAGGAAGATTCCTAGATTTCTGGCTGAAGTAACTGGGTGGAATAGTACTGCCATTAACACAGAGAAAAGACAGAAGTGGAGGAACGTCAATGTCAGCAGGCATTTGAGTGCACAGGCCCGAAAAAGTTCAGAGGAAGGGAAAGGGCTGAAGTCACACATGTGGAAGTTTTTCGGCACAGAGAACGTTCTCAAAGCCATGGGCATGTGTGAAAACACATCTCTGAATGAGGTAAGGCACCATATCTGAGACCAAGATCTCTGAAGCTGAAAAACCCCCAAATCTGCTTTTAAGAAACACCTTTTAGTAAGACTAACTCATTACAGTGTATGAAATTTCAGGAGACTCAGAGAGTAAGACTGTAAAGAATATCAAACTAGACCAGAGAACACAGGGTATATAAGTGAATATGACTGCCTGCCCTTGGCGCGACGTACGAGAGATTACCTTGAGACGCACTGTCGAAGGACTTGATGAGGGTCTTTACCGTGGGGGTTGGCTCAGAGGAAGTCGAGGATCTTCTACTCAGTCCCATCCCCTGCCTTAAGGCTGCCAAATCTCTCTCAACAGCATTCATATAGTTGTATACCCGGCCTCGCTCCTCTTCTTGCCTAAAAACAATATTGAAATCAGGGCACAGAAACAATATTGAAATATATACACATTTCCCCCTCCCAACCCAGAAGTGTTAAAAAGTATCAGTTTAAAATAAAAACTACTACTTGTTGAGCTGAGTAAATTACTTGATCTAATATTCTCATTTGCTTGGTAAATTCCAGGAAACAATATTAAAATTTTTATATCAGGTTATCCTAAGTAGGTTAAATAGCCATCAGTTTCCATTTTCATCTGAGTTAAGTGTAAGGTGAGGATATCAGTAACTGATTAGCAGCAAAATGGGAAGCGGACTGGCCAAGATTCTGACTCAGAACCAGGGATCACAAGGTTCTGAGCTGCTGAGAAGGCCTGGCCCTCCCAGGAGAGTCTGGGAACTCACCAGTACATACAGATACTCTGTACTGGCTCCATCAAAGATGCCAAGAGCATACATGGAAATACAAAGAAATGAAATCAAAGCCCATACTTTTAAGGGGGGGGGTGCTGGTAATGATGATGGGGGGGTGGTAATGATGATGGGAGGAGTGGTACAGGAGGGGAATAAAGGGGAGAAAAAATGGGACAACTGTAATAGAATAATCAATACAATATATATATTTTAAAAACCCATACTTTTAAAATAAAATTTAAGAAACTGCTGTAGTCTCCAAATAGAACTTCTCAAAGGAAAAAAAAAGGACTAAGCCCATATCAGTAACATGAGTCACACATGCTCACTGCAATGGATTGGAAGTCGTGTAAAAAAATCAATTGTGCCCTGGCTGGCATGGCTCAGTGGACTGAGTGCCGGCCTGTGAACCAAACGGTCTCCAGTTTGATTCCCAGTCAGGGCACATGCCTGGGTTGTGGGCCAGGTCCCTAGTAGGGGGCATGCAAGAGGCAACCACACATTGACATTTCTCTCTCTCTTTCTTCCTCCCTATCCCTCTAAAAAATCTTTTAAAAAAATCAATTGCACTTCATTTCTAGCCAGCTCTACTTTACAGAACTAACATAAACATTTTCATCGGGAAAGAAATCTCAGCTGCAGTATTTGTACATATAACTATCAAGTAAGTTCATAGGTGAACAAAATTAGGCCAGTCTTTAGGAAAATTTGTCACTTTGGCTCTTCTGACAGTTTTCTTGCCTCAAGATATACAATCAAAAGTTTTAATAAAGAATGTACAACAGTAATCATCAAACGTTTTGATCTTGGAGCTCATTTCCACTCTTAAAAATTACTGAGGACCCCAAAGAGCTTTTCTTTATGTAGGTTATATCTGTTGATATTTGTATTAGAAAGTAAACCTAAGAAGTATTTAAAATATTTAATCTAAAAATAAATAAGTTAAAATAATTTAATTATTAAATAATTTATTCTAAAATAAGTTTTCTTTATGAAAATTGTTTGTATTTTTAAAAACCAAGAAAGTATTAGTAAGAACAGTGGCGTTTTTATGTTTCTGTGTATCACTTTAACATCTGGCTTAACAGAGCACTGCTAGCTGCTCACTCCTTGTGCTCTCCACCTACTTCAATGAGAGAAAAGGCAGGCTCTGCACGGCTGTGCAGCTGAAAAAGGAAGAAAATCTTAGTGATACTCAAACACATGACTAGCATTTTCTAGATAACTGTGGCTATTCTTCCTTGATACTACACCAAAATGCAACAAATGTATTTCCTAAAACTTAGTTGCAATGTGGAATCTGAAACCATACCCAATACACCCCTTTAGTGTATCCTGCACTCGGAATGCATCTTCTACCTGTATGTGATTTTGTTACATCATGCACTGGTCATATGGAAAATATTGGTTCGCTGAATTATATGAAGTTTCCAAATGTTGACGCCTGTCATTATACCATCTATTTTTTTTAAAGGCCCATTTGTTAATATCACCAATGATCTCATCAGGAAACTCTTTAAATATGGAAGGCTGCCAAGCTTGCAATGGTACATAAAAGGTTTCTAAAATCCTAACTTTCACTTGAAAGCCCACATTTTATCACTGGTACAAAATACTTACTGCCAGTTGTTTCCCTTGAAGCAAAAGGCTCTCTTAATCATTTTCAAGAAATAGCCTCCAAGTACCAAAGTCTGAATATCCACAGTTAGTGTGTCACTCAGTCTCGGGTAATAATGGTATTAAATGATTTTTTTTTAAAAAAGCTTAAACTAAAACAATCACACATACTATCCTCCAGACAGCCTCACACTTGGGTACCTGCCGAAGTACTTTCTATGTACTTCCCATTTCATCACACAGAACCTTAAAAAGAATGCACTCAAGGACAGAGATTTAATAATACTAAAAACTTACTGCTTTCCTCACAGACATATTTAAGTGAAACACGCACTTTTTTAAATGCAAGTGTGTGCTGGTGAAGAGCACAATGATTGTAAGTATAATCTGGTGCCAAGGCCTCGATTCATCAACAGTTTACATGTACTTTTCACAATCAGTGCAAAAGTCGACAGAGTGAAAAAGAGCAATGGCATGTCAGGATCACTATGAAAAGTGCTTGACCTCCCAGACCTCCCCGTGAGAACTGCAGCCCCACAAGATGCTACCACCCCTTCCAGAACGCACTTCCTTTAAACATGTGTCTCAAAGACTGAGAAGCTTTCGGTATCCAACAGAATGACTCTTTAAGTGCAGAATTTCAGTCATTCAAGTATCTTAAGAATAAAGCACTTCTGATGCAAAATCAACTTAATAGTATACAGGGAAGAAAGGTAATGTATTATGAATTTTCAACCAGTGGGAAAACAGTAATCTTCTACCTCATTCCCTGTTCTGCTTAGGGAAGCCTACGAAAAGTGTTCGAGCATTACTATCCACTAGAATTAGGCAACACTAAAATATGATGGTTTTTCAAAAATAGTCTGTTAAATATTTTTCTAAATTTTTTCCTATGCCTACTTAAGAATTACTCAAAGTAATGAATAATCAAATTCTTAACAATAACCTTGAACACACAAACTACTCTCCCCTATTTGTAGATAAGAGTCTCAATGAAAAATTCTGAGCATGTCACAAATATCTTGTTGAACACTTTTCATGGGATTCCAGGGACCTCTACGTCAGATGAGGAAAAACTAGTGCTGTGGAGACTCATGTGGTTTTAAGTATGAAACAAGTAGAAACTCCTCAAGTGAGTGACGGGCAGAAACTCATTTCCAATTCCTCATTGGGTGTCTCACAACACTAGCTAAAGCAGATGCACTGTGGTCCTGCAGACAGAGCTCATCTAAGCCTTACAAACAGCACCGTGAAACAAGTAGTACTGTCTTCGCCTTAGAGATGAACAAACTGAGGTCCCTGACCAAGATCACACAGCTAGTAAGAGGCTGAGCTGGACAGAGACAAGCCTGTCTGCCTCCAGAGTCTACATCCTCAGTCAGGAGGCTAAAATCTAAAGAAGAGTCCCAGAGCTAGAACTCGGCCCCTCCAGAGATGCTACGATGACAGACACCGACAACTCTGAAGGACCCATGTAGACTGTGCTATTTCAAAAGTGTCATAAAATGAGGCCAGAAAAGTCAAGTCTCCCCCAGTAGATCCAAACTCAGTCATACCAGTGTCAAGCCCCATGTCCTTTGCAGAAAGTGTACCACGTGACAAAACTGGGACCTAAGTGTGCTCCACTGACACACACGTACACAAGTGGCTTCTCAAAACATACTTGCGTGACTTTATTTCTTCCAATTCTTTTGTGAGTTTCTCATTTTTTTCCTGAGCCTCATGTAACCGGCGCTTCAGATCACCAATCTCCTCTTGAGCTTCTGACTTAATGTCGTTTGCAATGACCACTGCGGTCTGAAGATCAGCCTGAAACTGCCGCCACTCTGCAGATTCCTCCTGTGTTAAAAAACTGAATTTTTATTTCCAAAAGAGAGCAGTAAAGACTTATTTAAAGACAATAAATGTGTTTATGATTAAGCTGCTGTAACACACTGTCCCAAATGATGATAAATTTCTTTTAAATCCTGGGGAATTGCTATTACCTACAGGTAACAGGTAACACAATTATTATTACTGAACTTGTTCTTAATGAGGCATCAAGCATCCAAAAAGTGATCAGTAAACGTTAATGATGGTAATGCCAAGCCTTCCTTCCTCATTCAAGTTTCAAAGTAAGTCTTATGAAAATAAATATACCGTCCAAAATCACAGTGCTTTATTTCTGAAAAGCTCAAGAAGGTAGATAACGATGCATGAACCATACTGAAAGATCTTATAGTGAATCACTACGAATATCCTGACATCAAAAACTAACAGGAAAATAAATCAAAATTAAAGGAAAAGGAAGAGGAAGCCAGAAGAAAAACACTAAACTTAATCTAAGCAGACAAAATCATAGAGAGACAAAGAGAGAAGCTAAGGAACTATATGGTCTGCTGCTTCCCACTGATACGGAGGATGTGGGTGTGGCTGGGTGGGAACACCACCCAGGGCATCGCCTCCACCACAACTACAGCTGCCCACTCCCAAGCCCAGCACCCACCACCCCGAAGCAGTGTTCTATGGCTGTGAAGGCAGCCTGAGCAACTGTGGCATGACCTGGACTATGAAATTAGCTCCCCACCCTTTGCATCAGAGTGGCACTGCTGCTGGCAGGCTGGTCAAATCCATGCAAGACTGAAAACAGCTTGGTTTTGAACTTTATAACCCAGAGCTAGTAAACTTTCTTTTTAAAATGTAACACTTCCTTCTTATATCCATCTTTCTAAAATTACCAGTCATAAATTACTAGCACATTCTTCTACCCAGAATCTAGTACCAGTCCCAGTTTGAAATGACATTTGCTTTCTAACCTAAGCCTGGTGGGGTCAATATTACAGCTGCATGTGAAGCCTAACACGAACGGTGACACGGTCAATGACCTGTCTAACTCACAGACCCGTGTTTCCCCGTGAGACACACGCGAGGGTCTGTCCTACCCGGAGTCTCCTGTGCAGCGTCTTGATTTCTCTCTCCATGTCGTGTTTCTGGTCCTGCAGTTTTTTAACTGCATCTGAAAAGATCACACAAGTTTAAATATTTATTCTTAGAGCTATATTCAAAAGGAATAATAAAAAGGGAGGAGGTAATTAAATGTGACATTCAAAAAAAGTCATCCTGCCCACAGACTTTTTACTTTTAATATAAAAGTTAAAAAGAAAGTTCACTCCAAGTATTAACCAAATACTTTCTAAAGAAAATGGCAAGTTTAAATCACAATTCCTAGATTATTCCTCCCTCAATGTCTTAATTCTAAGACAAAAAGTTAAGTAAAATCAATTGTTAGAAACACACACATTGTTGGCTCACAACCAATCAAAACAATGCTAAGTGCCTCACAATGTGAACGTTTAATCACAAGGGTTATCAACTGAAAATATTCGTACAAGCATGACTTACTTTATACACTGGAATAAACTGCAGAAAAGTCAGGAGCTAATAAAAGTTTTATGAACTTAATTATATGATACCCTTGGGAGCTGCTACTTACATTAATTCTAGGGGAAGTCTTTTTACAGTAAAAATTATATTTATAAAGTAAATCAATACTCAAGTTATTTCTTGCATAATATAAATTTTCTTCAGAGGATTTCATTCACTGTAAACCTTTAATGAGCACTACAGAGTGGGGATGCAAAGACGAAGGTGCAGCAAGGCCAGTGTCCTGGGAACCAGAAATGTACGGGGAAGTCACATTCTGTTCACAAGTTCTGCCCTTAGGAGGTGCCATGCTGGTTACTGCTGCCCAGTAAATCCATCACAACCCATTGCTCCAATGGCTCAGGAACGGGTGACATCTCTCTGGCCAAGGACCAGAGAATGCACATCTGGCGACAAATACTCGGACTTTACCACCCGTCCCCACCCCAGCAGATCCCTGTCCTTTCTGTTTCCAGCTCTGCCTATGTGGCCTTGCAGTGGTGCTGCGAACGTCACTTGTCTCTTCACACATCTGTCTCCATCACAGGACTGAGAACACTTTGAAGGCAGGAGCCATGTGGCGACCTCACAGCCCAGCACCCGGCACATGGTGAGACTGCAGGTGGAAAAAATGTGTAAAGCAAGGCCACAGGAGCAGTGAGATAAAGTGACACTGCAATCATTGCCTAGGATTGTTTTTTAAATATTCCACTGACAGGACTTAACTATTTCTCAGCAGGGACATCACAGCTGCAGACGTGATGTTCTGAGTAAACACTCCCTTCTGTTCCTTGCACTTGTGGCAGGAGCCCAGGCACAGTGAACGCGCGCATGCAATGGCACGTTTAAGTAAAAAGTCCTCCTTCAGCTAACAAATGACTAGCTTTTAATCAAGACCTGACATGTGAGTACGCTGGTATTTTTTTCTTACATTGCTCACTGTCTTCCTCCTCCCAGCTCTGTCAGAAACCAGCTCTTGCTGAACCTTCTGTGACAGTATACATTAAATTCAATGTTGGTCATTTGTGTTACTTTTAAATGGCATGAATTCATTTCAGTAACAACAAAAAGCCTAGAATAACTAACAATTACATGTGTAATCATTATTATAAACATATCATAATGATACATTCTTATAAGCTGGATTAAAAAAATTATATGAAATATGGGAGGGTACAGAGGGACTGGCCAGTTTTGGCAACCTATAGTAAACTTCCTCCCATGCTGCACCCCAAAACTCGTTCAACAAAGTTAGGGCCTACAAAAAAAAAAGGATTCAAAATTTACTCATTAATGTGACAAGTCTCAACAGTACCTGCTTTGTACCAGGGAAGCTGGTGCACTGTACCAGGCTGTTTTCCAGGTGCTTAAGGAGTGAGGGAAAGGAAAAGACACAGTCCCACCCTCTTAGAGACAGAAGACCAGGCTTGTGTCCTGCTAGCAAAGATGGATGTTTTCATACAAAAATTTTTCATCGAAAAGTCTCAGACTTTTCAAGCTACTTCAGACCTAAGTTAACCTGGAAATGAAGGGTCAACTGGTCATCCAATTGGTTTAGGTGGACACCAAAATGAGTGGGTGAATCCAACACCATTATCTGTATCTCCAGAGGCAAGGATTACTCTGGAACCTGCAGGGTAACTTGGCTTCCTTTGTGTGAGGACGAACTGCAGCTCTTTGTGGTATTTTCACACACAGATGAAAAAGTAAAGACAGAAGTGGAAATATTTCTAGTGCTGAAAACACCAGGGGTTACGCCTTTCATTTATACTACATCCACTTACACAAGAAATAATTTTATAATGAAAACAAACAAGTATAATTTCTCCTCCTCTATTGAAAACAGTTTTCCTTTTCTTCTAGTCACAAAGGACACATCTACTTATCTTTAGATAATTCACATGAAACAAACGATAGCAAATCTTACTACAGCTCACTTTTTACATCTGGTGTCTTGATTCTCGGATGACGGTTTAAGCCACGTGGTGATCTAGACTGATCATGAGGTAGCAAAATTCATTCATTTCATCTTCTTCTCTTTATCAACCTCTACATTTGCATGGCCACATAATTCCCATGATCACACTATTCTTAAAAAGACATTCTCCCGTACCCAACACTACATACTTATTATTGCCATGTTTTCTTATTCCTTTTAAGAAGAGAAGCTGGCAGCCAGTGGACATAAAGCATGGGGCACAAGTCGGTTTACAACTGTGAGTACCTGAAACACAGTTTATTCTTTTTTAATAAGATATGAACTCTGACATACAGCTTGTAATTATTTCCCCTAGATTTTTTTTAGACTTTTTATTTATTTATCGTTAGAGGGGGAGGGGAAGGGAAGGAGAGAGGGAGAGAAATATCAATGTACGGTTGCCTCTTATGTGTCCCCTGCCGGGAACTGGCCTGCAACCCAGGCATGGGCCCTGACTGGGAATCCAACTGCGATCCTTTGGTTCGCAGGCCTGCGCTCAATCCACTGAGCTACGCCAGCCAGGGCAGTTTATTCTTACATTATTACTTATTAATTATTATATTATTTTCCATGCAAACAACTGTAAACCTACTTTTGGCCCACCCTATATTTGGGAAGAATAAAGTGCACAAGAGTGTCTCTAGGGAAATTGATTTGAACTTTGTAAGTCGTAACTGTATTTTCACTTTGTAATATGAAGTTTTAAAAATGACAGTAGGCCTTTTCCTCCTTGGAAACAAAGGAGTCTGTACTTAAGTTCTTGTCTGGAAAATCAGCTTGGCTACACCTTCACCTTGGAGCCTCCGAATGCAGTTTCCTTCTTGTCTCCGAGGGTGAGGGACACTGCCACCTACTGTCTTCAACACAAAAGCGCCATTAAACTCTCGAACAGAAGCACTACTATGATCTCATTTTTAAATTACAACTTGTAACTCAATTTTACAGTGCTATTTTTATTCTAGAAATTAGGTAAATTGCTATTCTCATTGTTATTAGACCAACTGTGCTCTGAACAATTCTGGGCACTGTCCCGCCTACTTAACAGCATTCTTCATAATCCTTTCACCACCGAGACCCACCATCCCTGACGAATCCAGATCAACCACCCAGGCTTCTGCTCTGGCCCTAGGTCCACGCCATCACTCATAGACATTACTAGACAGCCACTGTGGGAACAGACCCTGTGGGCACCAACCTATGACCCTTGGACGTGTGAAGTGGTGAAAGTTCATAAGCAACCTATCATGCCCTCCAAATTCAAGAAAACCCTCAGGGTGCTGATACCCAGTGCTCAGTCAGACTCTTGTATCTGGTCAAGTGCCCCTAAAAGACAGATGGTGTCATTTTTAGAAGAAGGAAAAGGACAAGAGTAACTAATCAGTTAAACCACGCCTCAAGGGCACAGGAGAGAGGCAGGGGGAGCATCCAGCCTTTGGGTCACAGATTTGTCCCCAAACCAGAATTCCTGAAGTGTGAAGAAGACACCGATGAGCTTTAAATGAACCATTTACTACTTTTAGTTTTCCTTATTTTTTAATTTGAATTTTATTTTTTTTTATTTTTCTGGGGGAAAAAAGTGGATATAACTTCCCCCCTTGATTCTGAAAGTAATACATGCTCACAAGCAGAAAAACGTAACAAAAATAGACTGCCCACAATTTGCATTTGGCATATATCTTCTCAGACTTCCTATGTGTTTGCGTTTTTTTTTTTAAAGAAAAAGGATTATGCTATGATACTGCGTCAGAAGCCTTCCTACTCAGCAGTAGAGTACGGACACCTTTACCAATGAATACAGGTATGCAGCACCATCTCGATGCTCATGTTAGAATCCCATCAACTGGATATACAGTGATTTGCTTTAGGAACTTCCTATTAATGAAGTTAGAATGGTTCTTATTTTTGTTATTAACATCATGACAGCCTTTACACAACTGTTCAGATATTACTTGAAGATACATTTCTAGAAGTGGAGAAGTGATGAGGGACCATTCAAAACTATTAACAAGATCCAAGTCAATCCATTAGAAGGTGTCTAGCTCAAGAATGCAGAATATTCTTGAGAAATCACCAAGTTACAGAATTTACCGTACAGAATACAGTGAAACCCTTGTTTAAAGAATACCATTTTGCCTCACTACCATTTCAGTGTAATGTCGCATTTAAAGTACTCATGGTTTTTCACTCCAGAAGTAATACGACACACGGCCCAGTGACCTGCTTTTTTCATCTGTGACACTCCCCGTGCCTGTATCCACAGACCTGCCCGCCGCACCCTCACTGGTGAGCATGGCAGCCACAGTGGGATGCACTGTGCACACCGGCTATGACCTACATCTCAACTTCTGAAAGCACAGGCAGTCTCCACGCGTTTGTGGGAACCGGCCACTCTGCAATAAGCACCCACATCTACGCACACATCTACAAGCTTGTAAGAATGTTTCTGAGATTTCTGTAAGTGGGTTTCTAAATCACCTTTAAATTTTTGATCAATGCTCCAAAAAGTTGCAGCAATCTATGCTCCTTCCAAAAGTATGAGAACACCCATTTTTCCTGTCTTACCCAATACCAATCTTTTTAATTTGTCATACCTGCTAAGTAAGAAAAAATTGGTATCTTGGTTTGAATGTCTTTGCTTTTAGTGAAGTCAAGCATCTATTTTAAAAAATCTTCACCCAAGGGCATGCTTACTGATTTTAGTGAAAGGGGAAGTAAGGGAGGGAGAGGAGGGAGGAAGGAAAGAGGGTGGGGGAGAGACATCCATGTAAGAGAGAAACATCGGCCAGCTGCAGTTGCATCTAGAATGCGCCCTGGCTGGGAATCAAACTTGCAACCTATGTATGTGCCCTTACTGAGAATCGAACCCACGACCTTTTGGTTTACGAGACAATGCTCCAACCAAGTAACCATACCAATCAGGGCTCAAGGCATCTTTTTTGAGTCTTTTTCGGATTTATCTGCTCATACAGTTTATTTAGCTAATGGATTAGCCTAGCCTTATTGAGTGAGGTAAAGAATCTCTATTATATATTTGATTGTGTTGCAAAATTTCTCCCAATGTCATTTATTTATGGTACTTCTGCTAAATTAAAAATTTCAATTACACATAATCAAATATGAGACTTTTTTTCCTTTACGGCTTCCCAGTATTCTGCCTTTAAGGCTTCTTCCACCACAGAATTATACAACTGTTTCCTTCTGCTACTTCTCTAATCTCAAGTCACCCTTGCTCACCACTGTCACTAGTGTTTCAATGAAAGTACAAGGGCTGCATACTACAGACATGCTGTCCATAACTGCAGGCGTGCACAGATCATTACTATGCAAACAGTAAGTCGTTGAAAAAGTCACTGTAACTGACAGACCGCCTGAGCCAGACCTCAGGTTTCATTGGTGCCACTATTCTCAACGCCAGTGAGCTCTGGTTTGCTGGATTGGTAGTGAAGTCATTAACTTCATTTTTCTTTTTTTTTGGCTCAACGGAGCTGCTTCTTTCTCCTATTTCTCCTTTAAGACTTTCAAAGATATTTACATGTGTAATAAGTCCTGGTTGGTCTTTCTTACTTATAAAGAACAAGAATAACACACGTGACTCCTGCATATTTCTCGGCACCGTGGGAGATGCTGAGGTTCCAGGCCCAGGCCTCCCCGCTCGGTATGATGCCTGGTTAAAGGCTCTGCTGCTGACACTGGCCTGCAGGGGGCTCCTCTCTGGACACCCAAGAGGGCGTGTACAGCTTTAACCAGGGGACAGGTGTGTGCATGTGCGCATCTGTTTCACTGGGACAAACCGCATTTCCCTCTGTGCGGTCTTCTCTTCAAGAGGACACAGCATCCTCTGCTCACTTTCCATGTGCCTTCACCTCTCCTTCCAGTATTAAAGTCATGCTAGGAGCCCCTGGAACCACACTCTCCTCCTTAATTAGAAGAGTGCAAGCTCAGGAGCAGTCAGGGGCAAACGCCAGAGCCAGCACCCTACAGAGGAGAGGGCAGCACACCGCGGCCCAGAATTGCTGTGGGTGCCAGTCCTTACAATCCTGAGGTGCGGGTTTTAGTCCCACCAGCCCCCAGAGTCTTGCTGGGAACAGGTCTACTCAGAGCTTCAGTGTTTTCCTGGACCTTAGGTTTTTCTATTGTTTGATTTCTCCACATCCCAAATTCCACCTGCTTCATATATCAGAAATTACTCAAAATTATTGGTTTCTTGATGGGGCCTTTCCCATTTCCCTCCCTCCCTCCCTCATTGCTTTTAGAGACCGAGGGAGAAAAACACTGATCAGTTGCCTCACATAAGCACCCCAACTGGGGATCGAACTTGCAAATGAGTATATACCCTGACCAGAAATCGAACCCACAACCTTTCAGTCTAAGGGACAATACTCCAATCAACTGAGCCACAACGGCCAGGGCAGAACTTTCCCATTTTCTATCTTTGCTTTAGGTTCATTGTAATTTTTATATTTCTCCTGCTGTGCCACTGGGACTTTGGGAAGTAGTGGAAATACTCATATATATGTAAACTCAGGTTACCATCTTGAACTAGAAGTTTAGAAGTATTTATTTGTAAATACTTTGTAAGTATTTTGTTTGTAAGTTTTTACATCAGATCTTTCTAGCTTAGGTGCTAAATCCAAGCACTGGTGAAAAGTACTGCAGGCCAGGTCTAAGCAGTGTGGCCCTGGTGTCACCTGGGAGGCAATCTGGGGCTCCAACCACATAAATCACCAATGTTCTACTCAGTTTTCTTATTTAATCTTTTTTCTCTCTGCCCTGCAGAATGAATAATGTCTCCTGATTGACCTTCAAGTTCACTGGCTCTGCTACATGTCTAATTTGCTGTTTAAGAGATTCAATAAATTTTTCAGTTCTAGAATACCTACTAGGGTTTTTTTTTAGTTTTTACTTCTGTGCTGAGATGTTTCCACTACAAGCATATTTCCCTCTATGTCCTGAGTGCAGTCATAACAAGTGTACACTAATGCCTAAGTCAGGATCACTTTGAAATACACGAGGACGGACCATGACCAGCCAGGGTTTCTTTGGGGGGGAGGGGGTGGAAGACTCTGACACCTGACTACAGTGACGGCTGCCGAAGTGTCTGATGGAAGGTCTCAGCTCCTCGGTAACAGTGCTCCTTGTCATCAAGTCCATCACACCAAGCGCTGATTAGCATCAACTCCAACGCTAGAATTCTCTAGGAAAAGTTCGTAACTCCCCCGAAACTACAGAGACATAACAACTAAATGTAATGCAAGAAACTTGTTAGGATACTGCTTCTTATTAAAAAAAATTAAAGATTTGAACATGGGGTATTAATTGTTACACCTAGGCAATGAGTGCTAACTATACCATTCTTATAGTATTTCTGCATATTTGAACTTTTTGTTTGAAAAACTGGGGAGAAAAGCTATATGGATAAAAATTTATTCAGAGTTTTCAGCCATTTTATAATTAACACCCACATAAAGTTACTGTAATTTTATTTTGGCAATGATTCATAAATTTCCACCCAGGATCCCTTATCTTTTTTTTTTAAGCAATTGCCACAAGGGGTCACTCTTTCCACACTCAGATCAAAAGTCTTAGAGAAAAGGCTGTATTATCAGTACTAAATCCAAAAATGCATTGAGCTTCCAAGTTAATCTGAAAAACTTTAGAAACGCTTACATTTAGAAAGTAAAATTAGATAAATCCTCTAGCTGAGAGGTAATGAAATAAAAACTAGATATGTTAAAATAAAAGTTTTTTTAAAACTTTAGAGAAAGGTTATCTCTATGATTATCACTGACTTAGTGTCCAGATACTTCAGAATGTTCTGATAACCCTGGGGTCCATCTGCAGATGCTGCGTCAACTACCTAGAGCTCAGAACTGCCACACGATGTGTCTGGGGCTCCTGAAAATGGCCCCCTGTTGCCTGGTAAGTTTAAACCCTCTGCATTCACAGCACGTGAGATCTGGCTCAGCGATGAATCTGCCTACTACCCTCTGTCAAGGTTAGAGCTCAAAGGAGCAGTATCATGAACTGAAAGTTTAGAAAGCTTTGACCAGTGCATTTCCCCCAAATGTCACTCCCATTCTCCTTGTGCCCCACCTGGGCATCATTAAAGTGTATTGCAACTTAAAATTTGTTCACATTTGAGGAATCTTAATGAAGAGTACATAAATACATTATTTGGAAATTTCAAACTTGCAAAAATAGTACAAAGAACACCCATATACCCTTTTATTCAGATCTGTCTATTGTTAAGGTTACCCATTTGTCTGATTATCTGCTATCTTCTCTTGATCGATCGATCTATCTATTTATCTAATCAGATCTACCTATTCCTAATGTTTTTCTAAACCCTTTAAGGATATATTGTACATCATGGCCCTTTACCTCCAAGTATTTAGTGTGTGGTTCCCAAGAGTAAAGGACATCCTCTTATATAAGCACAGTACAGTTACCAACTTCATCAACTTATGCTAATGCATGCTAGTATACCAACCCCATTCCAATCCAGTCATATTGTCCATTTCAGCGTTTCCCCCCTACAGCCCCGGACCCAGTCTAGGCAGAGGTACTGCATTTAACTGTCCTGTCTCCTTAGCCTCCTTTAATCTGGAACTTTTCCATAGCCTTTGTCTTTTATAGATATTGGCAACTTTTAGTAATATGGCACCACCCACTCCTGTGTTTTTAGCAGAACATGTCTCATTTTTTGTCCCTTTAATGTTTCTTTATAATTCAAATCATGCCTCAGCCAGAATACAGTCAGGCTGATGCTATGGCCACTATCTATGTGCCTCCGTCACTTACGTGACCACTCTGTCACACTGGGGCCTGATGTTCCCACTGTATTGTTTTTTCTTTTCCTCACTTGCAACATAATCAACAGTCTGTGGGAAGGCATTTTAAAATCATGCATATTTCTGTTCCTCATTAAATTTTCTCACAGAAGTGCTCTGTACAATTTTTGCAATTTTTTAATAAATCTGATATAACTACAAAATACTTTTTAAAAACTTCTATTTTAAAAAGCAAAGCAACTTAAAATTAGAGTCTCGATTCTGCTATATTATAAAATCCCCAACATACGGAGGAAAATCAGATAAATAAACAAATAAAAACCTGTGCCTTAGGCACAAGATTATGAAGGATCAATACTTTTGTCTCAGTATACTTGCAACCACTAGAAGTAGATAATAAATAGCTTTTTCTAAGATCTAGAAAATAATAACCCCATTAGCTTTTTGCTTAAATAATTTTCCACAATTAACCAATTTTAAAATAATGATCCCACTTAACAGTTCTTCAGGACACAGTCTGAGGACTACCAATAGTGTGGGCTGCACTTGACCACATGTATATTTCTGCTAGCCTCTGCCTTTGAACGCTGCAGTCAGAATCAATAGTTTTTATTTTGTTACTGAATGTAAACTACTTCCACATGTTAAAATGGGTAGGGCAAAAAAGGAATGAAATGTTCCCCATCACTTACTCTCTAAATCAGAAATAATGAGGTTGTCATGAAGTTTCACGGCTCGATGCTGTTCTACTTCATCTTCAAGTTCAAAAATGGTTTCTTTCATGTCGCTCCTTTCGGTCTCTTTTTCCTCCAGTTCTGATCTTAATTTTTCTAATGTCATGTTCAAATCTTCTATTTGTTTTTTAGCTTCTTCTTGGAAGGCTCTGTATTCATCTTCTACCTACACGGAATGGATGGTGCAGATTAGAAAAGTTAGAGTTGCTTTAAAATAAATTCTAGAACTGAGGTTTCAAATTGAAGCTAAGTGTGAGTTGCTCTTCATGAACTAAAACACCTGCATAATAATTGTTTAAAAGCATGAAAAAGCAACCTAAAGCAGAACTTTGTGTAATATACTAGCAGAATTTGTCACTGTATCACTGACTAAACTTATATTGATGAATCATTGAATTTAACTAGACTATTTAGGACGAATTTTGGAAATTTTCCCTCCTCCAAAGTTTGGACTGAAGGCATGCATTTGATTAATGATTAACATGTTCTCCCATAAAAATAATGTCCCATTTGTGACAGTTTCAGCACCAAATTAATAATGCAAACAAAAAATCTCAAATATTGTCATTGCAAAAGTACTGGTTCGTAGTGCCCCTAACATACACATGTACTCCCAACAATTCACACATCTAAATTGTATATCTAAAAGTCATCACTAAAAAAACCAAGGTCTGTGTTACTCAAATTTTGGCCAAAGACATACTAATATCTCTTACTTAAAAAAATCACTGCAGTAAAAAAGGAAACAAAATGTGAGATAGAATAGTTAGATAACTCATGCGAATAAACACTATACCAGCAGTCACGTGGGGCGCAGAGCCCGGCCAGACCACCAGCAACCCGGGGAGGAGTTCTGAGTCCTCACAATCATGCTGCATGTAAAACAAGGGAACTGAACTAAAGATCTCGAAGGTCCCCATCTCAACAAACCATAAGCTGCTAAGAAAAACCATGGTCTCCATATTCCAAAAATATACTTTTAACTTACAACAAAGTTCTATTTGAAAACCTACAATCACAAGAGAACAGAAAGTGGCAGACCTCCCCTGGCATAATGGGTCTCCATCCTTGTGCCAAATACATTAGAAATAAGGATGTAAAATTGCATGACATGCTCCCCCGGGTGTACCCAGAACCAGGACACATTCTATTGTTAGTTCAAACTCTAGCCCCATTCTCTCACAGGCAGGAAAACAGTAATAACAAAATGCAGGCGAGTGAAAGTGATATTGTTAGAATACTTTTGCCTCTACTCCAATAAAAGAAAACCAGCCTCAAGCTTTAAAATTATCAGCTTAAAAAAAGCTAACAACAGCCCATACATGTGACACTGGCTCTCAGTAAGCATGCTGTGCACCACAGCTGCATGGTGCTGATCCAGAACATTCTATCTACTTAAACAGTACCTTTGCAATGGCGTCCTGCAATCGATTGGCATCATTTCGGGTATGAGCCAGGTCTTCCTGAAGGCTACTTGCCAAAGTCTCTGCTTTTTCTTTGTCTAGCCTGACGCTCTCCAGGAGATCCTGAATATCAGATTTGTCTCCAGAGTTATGGATGGAGTACAGCTCTGCCACTTTCTGCTTTTCATTCTCTAGCTGGGCCTTCAGGCGGTTCATCTCGATCTGGTCACTGGCCACTGTGGCTTTGTACTCCTCCAGTGTGGCTGCCAAGGCCGCTTTACCCTTCTGCTCAGACTCAATAATTCGCTCCATATGGTGATTACGTTCTTTGAGCGCCCCTATCATTTCTTGAGCTTCCTTATTGTCTTGTTCTGCCATCTTCAAAGTATTACTTAGATGCTGCTGGACACCAAGGAGCTGCTCTCGCTCAAAACGGGCATTCTCAGCGAGATCCATGTAGCGCTGTTCTAATTCCATATAGCGTCCACTTTTTACATCTTCATCTATGACGTAAGAAATGTGGTGCTCATCTAGAAGGGAGCGGAAATATTCAATTTGTCGGCTAAAGTGTTCCAACTTATCACTTTGCTGACACAGAGACTCCATGAGAATAACCTTCTCCTCTCCCAGCCTTTCGTTCTCACTATTCAGCTCTTGGGTAATCTGTTGGAGATCGGCTAGCTCTTGCAGGGTTGCCTGAAGTTCCTCACTTGTGCTGTGCTGGTTCTCTTCCATCTGGTGTATCCGTTCTGTCAAGCAAGCAACGGACACCTCGCTGGCATTCCCACTGCTCCCCTTCCGGGAGCGCTCTGTGCTCGGAACGCCTTCTGACTCTGAGGACGACGGTGCATCGAGGGCGTCATCACTGGATGTGAGGGGCTGGTACACCTCACTGCACTCGCTGTCTAAGTTGTCCATAGAGTTACTGTGCTGATGGTCCATCAGGGTGTTTTCATCCTGACTCAGAAGATCCTCCACTGACCCCGGGGCAGAGCCCTCCACCGAGGAAGTCACAGTCCCCCCTCCATCACTCTGGTTCCCAGGGGTGATTTCTGGGCTCAGGGACTGATAGCCAAACAGTTTTTCAGAATTATCTAACCTCTGCTCCAGGGAAAAGCCCAGCGCATTCAACCTGTCCTTTAACATTCTGTTTTCATTTTTCAGCTGGTTGAGTTCCTCACGGATGGCAGTGTTCTGTTCCTGTAACTGCAATAAAGTGGACTCAACGTCAGTTGGCTGGTGAGCAATAATGGCTTCCTTCTCCTCAGATTTTTCATCCCCCTCGGAATGATCCTCATTAATGCCCAGCTGAGCACGCATGTCTCGAAGTTCATTTCTCAAATGTAAAATTTCCACGTCTTTGGTTCTGGCCAGCGTGAGAAGATCTTTCACTTTGGCTTCCAGAGCAGCTTTGTCACTGATCTGATTGTCTGACTTAGACTTGCTCATGCGCACGTCACACTCCGCGGCAGTGCGACTGCGGGAACGTTTAGCCAGTGCCACGTCATTAGCTCCCTGACCTGCAGAAGGTAGTTTTTTGCTCTGGTTTAGCCGGGTACGTTCGCGTAATCTTTCTCTAGTAGAACTGGATTCTTTATTACCTGTGGAAGTGCTCCGCTTGGTTGAAGAACTTGTGCCTACGTGTTTAAAACAAAGAATTTAAAGCAAAAATATTAGTTAAAACAAAAAACAAACAAACAAAAAACCCCACATACATGCCCAGGTCTAACGAGATAAAATCTAGAGATCTACATTGACTTAAACCTACATTAATCTTGCCTTAGAGCCTGGTTACCGTGAAATTTGGTTCCTTTAGAACTAGAAGATCATTTATCTTTTAACTACCAAGGAAAAAGAAGTTATACACTGAATTGTACACTTTAAAAGGGTGAATTTTATGAAATGTAAATTATATATTTCAATATAGCTGTTAAATTAAAAGAAAGTTATACACATTAATTTGAATCTTAAACAGGCTTTTTCTAAAAAAAGATTTTATTTATTTATTTAATTTTACAGAGGAAAAGGAGGGAGAAAGAGAGGGAGAGAAACATCAATGTGTGGTTGCCTCTTGTGCACCCCCTACTGGGGACCTGGACCACAACCCAGGCATGTGACTTTACTGGGAACTGAACCAGTGACCCTTTGGTTTACAGGCTGGAGCTGAACCCACTGAGCCGTATCAGCCAGGGCTGAATCCTAAACAGGCTTTAAACAGGTGGCCAGGGACATAATATCCTAGAGCAAGCTGGATAAAAATGACCCTAGGATTAGCCAGTCAGGTGGCAAATTAACTGTAGAGACAGATGGGAGAGAAAGATCACAGAAGAGCAAAAAGGGAAAGGCAGCCTCCAGAAAACCCAAACATCTAAGCTACCTACAGTAAATACAAAAATGTCATCAAAATAAATGCAAAAAATGTTCACATTACCCTGCCTGGTGTGGCTCAGTGGACTGAGTGCCACCTGCAAACCAAAGGGTCACAGGTTCAATTCCCAGTCAGAGCACATTCATAGACTGCAGGCCTGGTCCCCAGTAGGGGCTGCATGAGAGGCAACCACACATTAATGTTTCTCCCCCTCTCTTTCTCCCTTCCTTCCTGTCTGTCAAAAAATAAAATAAATAAAGTCTTTAAAAACTGTTCACATTAAAGAATGCCACACGAATAACAATAATAGCTAACACATCGTTGGCACTCACACATACACATGCGTGCATCAACCCTACACATAAATTTATAGGGGCCTCGCAAAACTCTAAGGTAGGTACTAGATCTATATCATCTTGTTTTACAGAGAAAGAAGATCACACAGATGTGAATAACTTGCCAGCACCCCACAGGTAATAAACAGGTGAGGCAACATTCAAACCCAGGCAATCTGGCTCCAGATCTGCAACTTAACCAGTATGCTCTGCTGCAGGGATCCCCAACCCCCTGGCCGGTGCACCCACGCTGGTCCCTGGCCTGTCAGCAACCGGGCCACCTAGCAGGAGGTGAGTGGTAAGCTTCACTGGCATTGCCATCTGAGCTCTGCCTCCCGTCTCCCCCAACCCCATCCCCAGTCTGTGAAAAAAACTGTCTTCCACAAAACCAGTCCCTGGTGCCAAAAAAGTTGGGGACCACTGCTCTACTGCATCTCTAAATGTTAGAAAATAATGATGCATTAATGCTAAATAATGATGACACATTAATCAAATATGCTACACAAATTACACTAGTATTTAGGTGCTAAAATGTTAAACCTGTGAAAACAATTGACATGACCCATTGTTTAACATAAAAGTAACAGGAATATGTTTAAATACCCATAAACACAAAACAATTAGAATATTTTTTACTTTGAAATAATATCTAGACCTAATTAATGAGTTTTTTAGAGAACCTCTTGGTTCTTTATGCGGCAGGTGTCAGGCTGCAGAAGTAACAAGGAACAGAAGAGCTACACGATGTATGAAGACGGTAACTGTGCCAGGCCTCAGGTGTAGCAGAGGGAAGGGAACTGCGGCTGGCCACAGAGAGGTGGAAGGAAGGGCCACATGAAAAGGCAAAGTAAGGCCACACAATTAACAAAAGGAGCAAGAGGTTTCTACAGGTTCTGGCAGAAGTAACACCTGCTTGAGTGTGGTTGGTAGGGTAATAATATGGGTGTAATTATTTTAGTTTTAATTCACACGCTTCACATAAAATGTCATATGGTGTGCTTCAGTGTGATACTGTTATGTAACAGAATTATATACTTATGATTTTTGTAATGAAAGAGTTTATAATAAAGAAAAGGGGGCGTTATTTGTGCCAGACCCTGATATAGCTCTGAATGTCATGGAGAATTCAGTGACAGATGTCAACAAATGTTCCTGAGCAGGGAAGAAACATAAGGAAAGAGCCTTTTTATGGAAATTCATCTAGAAGATGCCAAGTGGAACACATGAGGAAGAAGGGAGAGCAATGAGGAGGACACGAGCAGGCAGCGCAGTGAAATCAAGCCCTACAACGCAGGAGCTTCTGAGACCTAGATCTCTGCAAACACAGAAGAGGCAACACATCAGCAACAGACGTCAGGGGCACAAGTCCCAGGACTGGGAGCAACAACTGCGGATGGAGGCCGAAGAGGACAAGGACCGGTGTAACATGTTCCCCAATACTGGTTCCCCTCCTCATTTCTGTAACTCACACCATCATCCTCACTAAACCAAAAGCCACGCTGAGAAAGGAAAGATCTGTGCGCGAATAAGAAGCAGAAAGGAACAAGCCAGTAAAGAAGAAAAGAACCAATAATGCACCCAATGGAAAGGAGATGTAAAGAAACAAGAAGAGAGGAGGAGACAGAACACGGAAGAAGAAGAGCTCCCCTTCTGGGACAACTGTGACGAGGAAGCAGATGGAAGACTCTGAGGTACAGACAAGCGCAGGGGTCTTGGGGAACTCATCAGGAGCAAGTAAACACAGAGCGAGTGAACTGAAGAATTATGGGTATTGTTATGAGCTGCATTGTGTCCCCCAAATTCACAAGCTGAAGCCCTCACCCCCAGTACCTCACAATGTGACTATACTTGGAGGCAGAGTGATTAACTTGAAAAGGTAATTAAGTTAGTTAACATAGGGCTGTTAGGGTAAGCCCTAATACAATACAACTGGTGTCCTTATAAGATGAAGCCATTAGGACACAGATTCAGACAGATGACCCTGTAAGGACAATGAGAAGGCAGCCATCTGCAAGCCAGGGAAGAAGGCTTCAGAAGAAATCAAATCTGCCGACACCTTGATCGAAGACTTCCAGCCTTCAGAACAGTGAGAAGTTGAATTTCTGTTGGTTAAGCCACACAGCCTGTGACATTTTGCTGCGGCAGCCCCAGCAAACTAATACTGGTTCCGGGGGTTATAACTGAGTTTAGCTGTGTTAGGGCAGGTGGCACTGGTCAGCGGGGAGCCATGTGCACAAATACATGCGATCTCTCTCATCAAATTTAAAAGCTGAAAACAGGAGGGGATGCTGATAGTATTAGAGTATTCAGTTTCCTTTTAACCACACAATAGAGTATTTCATTTCCCTCTTACCTCACAAACTGGAACGTTAAGTGTGGTGGTGGCCCCAGACTTGAAGAGTAAAAGATCTCAGGTTCAGTTTTTACTCCACCACCAGCTTTGTGGCCTGGTACAAAATAGGCACCCAACATTAACTGAGCAAATGAACGCAGGGCCTTGGGATGGACACTTGAGCTTTCTACGCATAACTTTCTAATCTCTAAAACGAGGACAGCCCTGGCTGGTGCGGTTCAGTTGGTTGCAGCATCATCCTATAAACTGCAAGGTTGCAGGTCTGATTCCCGGTCAGGGCACATACCAGGGTTTTGGGTTTGAATCCTAGTCGGGGTGCATATGGGAGGCAACCAATTTGTTTCTGCCTCTCTCTCCCTCTCCCCCTTTCTCCCTCTCTAAAACAATGAAAAAATGTCCTTAGGTGAGGATTAAAAAAATGAGGATAATAACAGCCTCTGCCTCACAGGGCTACAGTAAGAATAAAATGGAGTAATGCCTGGGAAGCACAAAGTAAAACATAACTCCTCCTGGTAATCATACCACTGCGATTACCTGCTCTTACAATCACCAGTGGGGCACAACCTGGGAGAAAGGAGAACACACAGAGGGTCAGAGCAGGAGGGAGGGCAGCCGGGCAACCCCGGCCGGAAAAGGCCAACACACACAAGAAGGGCAAACAGCCTCGATAATGATGATAGGCAGTCCGACACAGTTTTTACCAATTTGATTTCAAAGCTTTATTACAAATACATGATCTTATGTTTATTAGAAGTGTTAGTTTTTTTTTTCTGTAAGTTTAAAAGTAAAATATAAAACATTACTCCTTGGACTATAGGATGAGTTAATTTAGGGACTCATCATATTTCAACACAAACTGCTATTTATGAACCAAAAAAGAACAGTAGAACTGGAATGAATGAACCTAGGCACTGATCTTCAAAAGCTGCTAACGTTGTGGAAAGAGAGACAACTAAAAATGATGTGCCTCCCACAGAGACAGCCAACATCCATGAAGGAGCCCGGGGGAAAAAAGAACCTCCACCAGTCCAATCTGGGCTCTGGATTCAATGACATTTAAAGTAAACAGAGGGAAACAGAGAAACATAGTCAAGGATATCATGAAGATATGACAAAATCTAGAGCACAGAAAACTCTACAGTCAAATGAGGAGTTTCTATAGAAATTAAATGGAAAGAAAAAAGTGAGCAAGCCCATACATTAAAAAAAAGACTTAAGAGAAACAAACCCCCAATTATTACATATGGATCTTAAATAAATCCTGATTCAAACAAATAGACAGTAAAAAATACATTCGCAATATTTATTAGATGGAAATTTAAACTTACTAAATAATTTACAATGAAAGGAATGATTATTTTAAGGACTGATAATGGTATTTTGATTACACATTTTTTTCAATCCTTGTATTTCAAAGACAAGGAAGTACCTGTGGAGGAAATTACAGGACACCCGGTACTTACTCTGAAATAGTAAAGGAGAACAGGTGGGGGTTGGGGAGCTAAGACCCACCAGTAGCTGACAGGACAGATGAGCACACAGGCTGATATGCCCATCAGTTCACTTTTGTACAAGTCTGAAAACACCTATCATTCAATGGAATTCCCTATACCACTATCCTCTGCTTCGTCCAACAAAAAGGCGGTTTAACCCTCAGAGTGAAAGCCACGCGTACCTGTGCTAATCTTGGACTTGCTCTCCACGGTGCTCATGGCAGGGGCAGACGCTGAGGATGCTGTGGAAGGGCAGGTGCTCTTCTTTCCCTTAACACCATTAGTCACTGTCGCCCCTCCAGCCATTCCGGCTAAAAGGTCATCACTGCTCTTGGTCTGAAAGCAACAGAAAAATCAAAATAAATTGACCAGATGAAGCAAGATTAAATAATATTTTGAGAATAAACAAAGCTCTTGACTTACAGTGAGTTCAAGAGTTCACGAAGATTTTCTTACATTTGGCAAGCAATGCATCATACTATGCTACAGAAACAGAACTTCTCGACTAGTTTACAAACCATCACTCTTCTTATCAATATATAGAAATCATACACGTGATCAAAAGTTTTATGGAAGCCTGCTGTGTTCCCACATGAGCCAGACTCATTGAGGGATGAGAGACAGTTGGAGACACCCTCCCTTGTAATTCCTTCATAGGACATGACTTCCGAACAGCAACCATTTGAGTGATGCCACATGGGCTGTCTCAGGAAAGTGCCATTATGCCACAGGAAATGCCACCTTGCAATTTCTAGACAGAAACATCACTGAGAATCAGAAATAATCTTCACTGAATAACCTGCATCAGAAAAATTCTCCATTTTTTCTTACCTCATCTAATTTTTTAGTACTCTAATTTATGCCAAAATTAAAAGGAGATTTTTTAAAGGCTTAGGTAATGTATAACAAAAACTAGATATATTATGGTTAGAGTGAGGGTTAGCCTAAATTTTCACACTACTTGAGAAAGACCATTTGTAGTATTTATTTATATTTTATAAAGACGAGCAAAAAAGCACAAGCATTTCGCAAAGAAAACAAGTACTCTAGCCCTGACAATGTGGCTCAGTTTGTTGAACTGTCCTGCAAGCAAACCAAAAGGTCACAGGTTCGATTCCCAGTCAGGTCACAATGCCCAGGCTGCAGGTTTAGGCCCTGATAAGGGGCCACGTAGGAAAGGCAGCTGATTGATGTTTCCCTCCCACATCAGTGTTTCTCTCCCTCTTCCTGCTCCTCTCTCTAAAATCAGTAATGATGTCCTTGGGTGGGGATTAAAAAAAAAGAGAGAGAAAGAAAGAAAAAGAAAACAAACACCCGGAAGAAACCTGTTTTTACTTCTCTTAGAAATGAGAGAGAACACAGAGAGTTAAAGATCGATTGGAAAAAAATAAAAAACTACCCTTCAATAAAAAACCAAAAGGTTTTATGTCACTAAGGTAAAGGCACAAGTCAGTCAACTAATTTATGTTGTTTTCTATCTGGAACCTTTCTTACCCTTAAATAATCATAACGAATTAATTTCCATAAATTAAAATGGTTCATCTATAAAAACAATTTCTAAAATCTCTCCTATTTCTAAATGTCAGTGGTCCTATATGGAGTACATTCTATTCTTTTCATTCATATGTGAAGATTATTATGTAGTAGTGTCATTAGGCAGGTCGATCAGTCTTACTAAAAAGAGGCAGAAAAAGGATTAATATTTTAAACAAATTAAACGGAAATAAGCTTTGGCAATTTAGAGTTGCACGTTATGAAAAACCTAGGTTATATACAATAATAAGGAAGGAGGATGTACATTAATTATTAAGGATTATTCATATTATTATGAATAGTTTAATTAAATTGGTCATTAACTATGATGCCCCCAAAACTGTAAATCCAAAGTTACACCTCCTTCCTGTCAACTTGTTAGTCAGTAAATAAACTCACCACACTCTTATATTTTCAAATTATCTTTTACAGTCTGTTAATAAAAGTTAAAATGACCTCTGAACTAATTTTCCTTCCTCCAAAGTCAAATATTCTTTTTTTATTTAATCTTCACGAGATATATTTATTAATTTTTAGAGAGAGAGAGAAACATCAATGTGAGAGAGAAACGTGGAGCAGTGGCCTCCCGTACACGCCCCGGCCAGGGACCAAACCCACAACCTAGGTAAGCACCCAGGGATGGAACCGGCAACCCTTTTAGTGCACGTGACAACATTCCAACCAACTGAGCCAAACGGCCAGGGCAAAGTTACATATTCTTAACTTTCATAATAATCACGCCTACAAACCACCCTACAGCGTCATGTGAAAAGTGGCTTGCCACACTTCTCTGGTTACGTTCAGTCTTTGGGTAATAGCGAGTTAAACATAAATCAGAAGACCAAATGAGAAACTATGACAGATACCAAAACAACTAGCAAAGTACAGCACTGGCACATGAATAAGCCAGTGGAACAGAATCGAATCCAGGAAGGAACTGCATAGACACTTGACTTATGACCAAAGAAGCAGTATAGAAAAATAAATAGGTTTTTCACTAAGTAGTGCTAAGTCAGTCGTTTACTCAGAAAGAAAAATAAAAATGAGCCCTACTTCATCCCATTTCAAAAACAAATCCTGTGCTGGTTGGGTAGCTCATTTGTTAGAGTATCATCCTGATATGCCAAGGTTGAGGGTTCAATCCCCAGTCAGGTCACATACAAGAATGAACCAACGAATGTATCAATAAGAGAAACAACAAATTAATGTCACTCTGTCATGATACATTTTTCAAAAATTCCAATGGCTAGGATTCAAAAGTCTCAATCATAAAGCAAAAGACTAATGAATTTGATTAAATAAAAACTGAAATCTAAAAAAATTTTTTCACTATTGTGTGGCCAAAAAAATCATAAGCAAAGTAAAACATTATACATATATATGCGTTACACAGAAAGAGAAAGAGAGACACCCAGAGAAAGAGAAAAAGAAAGAGAAAGAGAAACTAGGAGGACTATATGCACAATATCTCACAGATGAAGGGCTATTCCAAGTACACAAAGAACTCTTAAAAATCAAGGGGAAAAAAAGACCAAAAACCACACAGAAAAGTGAACAAAACAGACAACATATAATCAATTCTCACACACTCATAAATAAGCCTTGTCTTTGGGACTCAGTATCTAACAGACCTGCATTTGTACTTACCCTTTACCCGGCGATCCCACTTCCAGGAACTTACCCTGAAGGCGCACCTCCAGTAACACAAAAACACCTATGTGTGAGGTTACTTACTGCAGTCTCGGTTGGGACTGCAAAGTACTGTCCTGTAAAATGCCTTTGCAAATGAAAGTAGCTGCGTCAACTATAGCACATCCATACAATCAAGCATTAAACATCTATATAAAAAAGAATGTCACCCCAATGAAAAAATCTATAAATAAAAGAATGAGCAAGACTGCTGCTATAAACTGGTATGGAGACACTGCTAGAACACATTAAGTGAAAAAAAGCAAAGTGCGAAGAAAGTATATCTAATTCTGTCAACTTTTATGTTAGAATGAGGAAATAAAAGATATACATGTATCTGCTCAAAAAGAAACACAGGAAAAATAGAGTAAAGGGTGCAGAAAGAGTAAGAAGTAGTGGTGGGGGGAAAAGGGCACTTCTCTGACATGCGTCCTCATCTGGTTCTGACATACAGAACCACGTAAGGACTCACATGCTCTAAAGAGATAAACACAAAACAAACAGAATAAGCCAGGGCGGGGAACCCTAAAAATAAACGCAACAGGAGCAACTGGACCCAACTGGGGGTGTCCAAACAAAACATCTTTTGTAACATAGAACACTGACCATAAATTCCCAAACTCCCAAGCTAAAGACAAAGGAAGTATAAATATTGAACAATAGATGGTAGATTTGTTTTTTGCAGTGGTATGGGTGAACAATTCTCTATCTTCTATACACACTAGGATTGAAAAAAAAATAGGTAACTGTATTACAGATAATGACAGCCAGGCTTTGGAAGAGATTACTGTGAACCTTGTGTGTTAACCAGAATTGAAAGTGTCAGTGGGAACTTGGAGGTTTTAGTATCTATGGAAAGTGGCAGACACAGAAGGTGACTCATTTATGCACATTATCAATGTGTGTGTTTCCTATCTCTGTCCACCGAGAGGGCTCAGACACAATTCACTCAAAAGCAGCGAGTGCGCCTAGCTCCCAGAGGGTTTACCTCCTCTCCTCCACTAAAGGAACAAGGCTACTGAGGTGCAGGTTTGCTCTGCTCTGACTGGGTGTGGCTGCAGAGCATGTGCCATTCGCAGTGACTGACTAAGCTCAACACAGATGCTTTGTGAACTTTGCTGGATATATATTATACTTCAACAAAAAAGTGAGAACAAAACAAAAATAACTCTGCACTTCCAACTTGGCTTTTACATGAAACTACCTGCAAGCTTATGGAAATCTGTCCCTAGTTCTTTTACTATTTGTTTTACCGTTCTATAAATACATGTGACTCCCCACAGGTAAACATCCTCTATCAGCAGCAGTCCAGAAAAATGAAACTGATGAATAGACTTTTAGCCACTTTTTAATAACATACATAAAATACAGATCATTTAGTAAAAACATTCCAGACACAAATAATGAAATACTACAACCAGGTATACATGCTTCTTAAGGTAAAATTCAAGTTTCACAGTCTGCATCTTCATCTCAAAATACAAGATTAGTTTAAAATTTCACCTTTTGAGTTTCACATATGGATTACTCAATCATAATGTTAACTCATTTTATACTGAAAAGGCATGATCATAAACAATTGTCAAAACTCATCAATTATTTAGACTCTAACTGAAGTAACTGGAGGTTCTGAATTCCTATCAATCAATTTTTAGAAAAAAGTATTCTCATCAGTACAATGAACGAGTTTAATACTTCTATCAGGACGAACATAAACACCAGAGCACTGCGTGAGACCTGCAAAGTGGAGGCATGAAACCATTTCTAGACAGAAAATAATCTTTTCCACTGCCTGCGATAAGAAAGAATTAAGCATGCAAAGGCCCCACGGCGGTCATCACAGCTACTGACAAGAGTGGGAACAACTGCCCAGAGCTCACTGGACACAGAAGCAGCGCCTCACCCCACCATCTGTGAAGCCCAGTCAGCAGCGAGGCGCTCTGGGTCACAGGACCCTTTCCCAGACCGCTCCACTCGGTCCAACCTCAAACAGTAACTGAAATGAGAGCAGTTAAAAAGAGACGCATCCCCGTACCCTGCCACTATATGAAAAGTGTCATGAGAACACTGCACAGTGACAGACAGGTACACACAGGCATCGCCATGCGAGGACGAGTACATGTGCACGGGGTTTAAATAATTAAAAGCCAACCAAATGCTTCATTCACCTGGCTGAACCATCAGTGCTCCATCGGTTACAGGAGTTCAAGTTGCGGCAGGTGCCTGCATGGTGGAGAAGCACAGTGAAATATGAAAACTTAGAAAAATAAAATAACACTTAAGTGTGTGGGCCTCCAAGTCTCTTCAGTTTTTTTCCATTTTTCTGTTATCAGTTTCCTTCTTCCCTCTGTGTCTTCTTACTTCAATTTCTATTCAAGAGTCTTTTCTCCTGAGCACCCCGACAGCTCCATCCCCTCTATGACCCCCCTCCCCCACCACACACACACACACACACACACACACACACAGAACTTCACCCAACCTGCCTGGCAGCGCCGGCGCCATGGAGAGGCGGTGTGTGCTGGCACGTGAGTGTACCGTTCTGCTTTACAAGCAAGGAGTACTCACTGTTAAGACCAAACTACTAGCAACTCCGATCCAAGCCGCAGAAGATCCGACACGCCTCCTGCGCACACTCCATTCCAACCCTTCAAAGACAATGCCTGCCAGTGATTCGGAGACAAGAGAAGGAAGGCAGGAGCGCAAACCCAGAGCCAGTGTTTCAACCTGTTCTTCCAGTCACGTAAATAACAGGTCACGCAGGGACTCTGCTCCAAAGACAGCCCCAGAAACTGAGTAACCAGTTAGGTCAGAGAATGTCGGCTATCTCCCATGAAAGAGTGGCAGCACCGCCACGGAGGACATAATTCATGATGCTGATGCAGACTAACGGGGGTAGGGCAAAGGTCTACTCCTGGTACTGTCCCTTAGACCACAGGATGACACCAGCAGCTCATAATGGCAGCAGCAAGGAGAAAATCTGGGGGCATCTCCAAGCCCATGGAGTAGTCTGGGTCCAGTTTTGACAACCCTGTAATAGCAAAACCAGCATTTCCTGCTAGATCTTTCAACACATATAAGGAAGTCCCTCACCAGCTGTTCCTGGGAGGTACTTCTAAAAATAATTAAGCCTCAATCTATCAAAGCCCTGCATGGACAAAAGGCTTTTATCATGTTTCAGGCAGTGCTCTGGTTCTCCCTAACAGAAACACTCTCCAGGTTTTCTTCATTAAGTCAGAATTTCCACCCAAACACTACACATCCCTAAAACAAACAAGCAAAAAACAAATGAATTCTGGGCTGAGAAAGGCTGGAAGAAGAACAGAATGCACGAATCTCTGTGCAATGACATTACACTTGACCTGGAGCCATCCAAACCAACACAGACTCGGAGACCACCCACCCAGGAAGACTGACTTTCAGGAGTCAATCCTGCGCTATGAGAAGTTTCTAGAGTGAACCAATAAAAATGCTACACGCACTAACCACTTTCGTACATTCCCCTCATGTCCTCCTGACCATGGCCCTATGAAGCACATGGGAAACCCATGCTTGTCTGCTCCTGAAGCCCATGACCTAAGAGAGCGATTTTCAACCTTTTTCATCTCATGGCCCACAAAAACTAATTACTAAAATTCTGTGGCACACCAAAAAATATATTTGTTTGCCAATCTGACAAAAATAGATACAATTTTGATTCATTCATACTGGACGGCTATTGTTGTGCTGGCTGCTCTCGCTCTTTTTTTTTTTTTAATTAATTTGACAATCTGAGGGAAAAGAGGTCAGTGCCCCAAACTGAATAGTCGGGTACTGCATGTTTTAAACATTTTCACAGCACAGCACAGCACACCGGCTGCAAACCACTGATCTAACGAATCACAATCCTATACTCACGAGAACTATGCCAGCCTTTAAAAGAGTGTAAAGAAAATTAGTGCCACCCAATTTTAATCAGAATTAATACTGGAATCAGTTGTCAGAAAAAGAATAACAGTTATGGCACGTGAAGGGGTGGGGAGGGAGGGAGATAAAACCCCCTGTCTACACGTCTCAGGACTATTACTGCTGGTCATCCTTTAAGATCCACCATCGACCTTCTGGCTAGAAACAGTATCTTCCTACTTGAAAATGCTTACACTGTTTTTCGGCTCTCCCAGGACATCTGGTTTTTTCACGTGTGTTTTAGTTTTTCTGTGTGTGACTCACCTCCATCCATTTCTACCCAAACTCCTTGAAGGCAGACGCTCCCTCCAGCTCACACCAGCACAGAGCCTTGCAAAAGACGGCCACTGAATGATTCTGTTTCATGAACACGCTTACTGTTTGGTTGCACTCATAAAGAGAGACCACACACACCAGTTCTGACCTCTCACCACAGGCTATGTGGTCCTAGCACCAGTAGAGGGCGAACACCAAGTAATGCATATTTAATAAATCACACATCATATCCAGATCCCCGCCTCCTAAAAATCCATCACATAGTCACACGTCACCCATGAATACCTTTGACAATGATGCTGCTGTTCCAGGTTTTACAAGTTTGCCTCCTGCAGATGCTGAAGAACTGTTTTCGGGTTTAGTTTTTTCTACTGTTTGCGTTTTGCTTATCCCAGACACTTTAGGCACTAAGCCAACACTCCTGCTTGCTTTCTTCATTCTGGGCTGCCTCTTCGTGATACATTTACAAGCAAATCTGTGGAAAGAAATGATATGCTAAGAACAAAGCCGAAAGAAAGGTCCTGAGAAATCCGTTTTTGAAAAATTTTACCATGTGATAAGTAAAAATGTTCGAAAGCTAAATATAGATACAGAAAATAAAAGCTGAAAAAATATTAGACTTTTTAATGTACACTATCTGCAAGGCTTTTCCTTCTTGAGTATTAACTATTTTGTGCATTCTAATTCAGTCAGTAAAAAGAATATCCTAGATGACAAATGGAACTGGCTAAATATAACTATGTATTGTCTTTCCCATTTAATGAAGCAATAATCATCCTTGCACCCAAGAACTAGCCATTTTGCAGGTATCAAGGGGTGACTGTACCTTCCATATTATCCAGCACCGTCCTGACTACAAATATTTGTTGTAATATCCCCACACAAGCCAGTAGAATATCCCCAAAATCCTAACATTCAAGATCCAAATATATTTCTGAGTATCTTTTCTTTTTCAAGACAGCATAAAAATTCTTTATTAGAACATTTGTCTCAATTTTTGGCTTGGGAAGAAAAAGAAATTCTATATACCTATAAGGAATATGACAAATTTTATACCCAAGCAGTACATACTAGAACAGGTCCTCAAATAATATCGTTTCATTATAGCATTAATAGAAACTTAACTCTCGTTACATCAACTAGCCTATGGTAAAACTGGTTTTGTTCTACATCATTTCATTGCAGTTACAAGAACCTACTGACAACATCAAGTGAGGACTTACTGACCTTGATTTCACACGACTTGGAATAACACTGGCAGCACACAAAGCTGCAGCCAAATAAACCCTCAAACAGACCTTTATTAACTGAGCTAGATAAGCAGTATGTACGTTAATGTCATGTTTAGAAAGACAAACCACGCACTGCTTTGGGTAGAGTGATACAACTAACAAAAATGAAAGTCTATTTTGAATGCAAAGAGGTTTATGTATGATGAATCTGAGAAACAAAAAAAGTTTACTCTATTTTTATGAAGATATCTACATACTAATAAAAATAAAAAGAAACTTCTTTTTGAAAAGAAGAGGCTCATTCCAACAGCCTTCACAAGTATTTCACCTGGACTGCACTCTGACACTCCAGATTTATCTTGCCCTGACATAACACAAACTGTACCAACTGGTTTGGTGGCCGGAACGGTGAAACAGAGCAAAGGGGCTCTGCTCTACCCTCAAAGGGAAAAGGCTGAGCAGCAAAAGAACACTGGTGCTCACATCAACTAAAACCTCAGAGACTCTTCTCCAGCCTTCCTCTGACTTCCTGGTCACTCCTTATAGAAAATGCTCTACACAGTAGCGGTCAAACTACCCAGATGCTCTTAACCCCTTTGCTTTCTACTTCCTCTTCTATGCAGGTAATCTGCTGACTACAAGTGCATCCTCTAGTTCAGCTCTGCCGTCTGTGTCTCACACTTTCTTAGGGACACCGAAAACGACCAAGATAGAGGCAAGCAGCTCCTCACAGCAGGTATGAGGGACAGTTACACTATTCCCCGACAGTCAGCAGTTCTATGCTTTTCTCACCTATAAAATGAAGAATTAGACTGAATCCACCACTAAATCAAGGTATTGCAGAAAAATCAAATTCCTAAGAACCTTTTCTTCAACTTCTCACTTTCCTTTTTATTTACTCTTTTTTCATAGTCTGTAAATCACTCCTCAACGGTTCATTCTTCTCTTGTCCGAACCCTACGCCTGCATTCACTTCTGCAGCACCACCCAGACCCCTGCTGTTCTCTGCCTGCTCCTCTGCACTGTCGGATTAACCTCCACGCCGGCACTCTCCAACGAAACTCACTGTAGTAACAGAATATTTTACATGTACACCTGCTGCCCAATACAGTGGCCAACAGCCACTTGTAGCTATTGCACACTTGAACTGTGGCTAGTGTGACTGAGGAACTAATCTTCGAATTTTATTTAATTTTAATTTATTTAAATTTAAAGTTACATGAGAGCTACATACTGTACAATGTAGTAGACTGTCCCTGTCCTGCTTCTGTCTCAGTCCCACAGTAAAATCTAATGAACAACCAGTCCTCACCCACTAGAACGACTCTTAAAAAAACAAGACAGTAACAAATGTTGAGAAGGCAGCGGAATGATGGGAACCCTCACACTGCTGCTGGTGGGAGTACAAAATGGTGAGGCCACTGTGGGCCAGCCTGGCACTTGCTCCAATGGTTAAACTCCGTCACCCTAATGATCCAGCAAACCCACTCCTGTACTCCTACAATATGCGTAAGCGAAATGGAAACGCCTGTCCACACAAACACCTATGTACATATGCCCATAGAAGCATTATCCACAACAGCAAAAAAAAAAAAAAAAAAAAAGGAACCCAAACGACCTCATAAAGTTCTCCCAATTAAACTACCATAGAATTCTGTTGACATTTAAATTATTTTTTACTTACTAGCATGTATTTGTTACTTATTGGACACATATTACCATATAGTTCTGTTTATATGCTTTCTGCATACAAAATAACTTTTTGTTTCAATTCCAAATGTCTATCTATTGATGAATGGATAAATGAAATGTAGTAAACCCATTCAATGGAATATTATTTAGGCATAAAAAAGGAATAAAATATGGATACATGATACAAATAGATGAACCTTAAAAACATTGTACCAGATGAAAAAAGCCAGGCACAAAGGAACATGTATTAAATGATTGCATTTATACAAGTTGTCTGGGACAGGCAAATCTGTAAAAATAGAAAGTAGATCTGGGTTGGCTGCTAGGGGCCAGAGGGACATGGATACAGATTTCTTTCGGGGATGAAACATTTTAAAATTAGATTGTGATGATGGTTCTACAATCCTGTGAATATACTAAAAATCACTGAATTTACACTTTAAATGGGTGAATTGTACAAAATACAAATTATATACCAATAAAGCTGTTAATTAAAAAAAATGAACAACATCAAAACAGGACTCCTGCCAACACTGTGAAATACCCAGTTAGAAAAGAGGACTACGGTTTCAGAGACCTGGGAGGAAAAAGCAGCACAGCCAAAAATTTTAAAGATGCTGAGATGCAGGCTGTGCAGGAAACTGGCAACTTTAGATCCCACGAGCTCTCTGAGACCAGTGTTTCTCACCCCCACTGAACACAAAACCCCCTTTCACTAACTAATTTGAAAATATACCTTTACTACTTAAGTAAAATCCAAAGATAACCTATTATATACTTTTTAAGTATATTTTATGGATTATGCTATGACAGTTGTCCCATTTTTTTTCTCTCCTTTATCCCCCTCTCCCTCTAGCATTCCCCCAACCTTGGCTCATGTCCATGGGTCATATATTTAAGTCTTTTGGCCTCTCCATGTCCTCCACTATTCTTAACCTCGCCATGTCTGTTTTGTGCTTACCATTTATCCTTCTTATTTCCTGTACCTTTCCCTTCCCATTTTCCCCCCACCCTCCGTGTGATCTCCATTTCTGTGATTCTGTTCCTGCTCCAGTTGTTTGCTTAGTTTTTTTTAGGTTCAGTTAATGATGGATAGTTGTGAGTTTGTTGTCATTTTACTGTTCATAGTTTTTGATCTTCTTCTTTTTCTTAGATAAGTCCCTCTAACATTTCATATAATGAGGGCTTGGTGATGATGGACTCCTTTAACTTTACCTTGTCTGGGAAGCACTGGTTCTGCCCTTCCATTCTAAATTATAGCTTTTCTGGATAGAGTAATCTTGGATGTAGATCCTTGTTTTTAATGACTTCTATCAGCTCCTTCTTAGACTGTAAAGTTTCTCTTGAGAAATCAGCTGATAGGCTTATGGGAACTCCTTTGTAGGTAACTGTCTCCTTTTCTCTTGCTGCTTTTAAGATTCTCTCCTTATCTTTAATCTTCGGTAATTTAATTATGATGTGTCTTGGTGTGTCTCTTTGGATCCAGCTTCTTTGGGACTCTCTCAACTTCCTGGACTTGCATGTCTAGTTCCTTCGCCAGACTGGAGAATTTTTCCTTCATTATTTTTTCAAATAAGTTTTCCATATCTTGTTCTTCCTCTTCTCCTTCTGGCACCCCTATGATTCAGATGTTTGAATGTTTAAAGTTGTCCCAGAGGTTCCTCAGCCTCATTTTTTGGAATTCTTGTTTCTTCATTCTGTTTCAGTTGAAGGTTTATTTCTTCCTTCTGTTCCAAATCATTGATTTGAGTCCCAGTTTCCTTCCCTTCACTGTTGGTTCCCTGTATATTTTTCTTCATTTCATTTTGCACAGCCTTCACTTCTTCCTTTATCTTGTGACCATACTGAATCATTTCTGTGAGCATCCTGATTACCAGTGTCTTAAACTCCACATCTGATAGGTTGGCTATCTCCTCATTGCTTAGTTCTTTTTCTGGAGTTTTGATCTTTCTTTCATTTGGGCCATATTTCTCTGTCTCAGCACACCTGTAACATTGTAAGGGGAGGAACCTCAGGTATCTGCCAGCACGGGGCAACCCACATTATAGTGTTGTGGCACTGTATGTGAGATAGGGGTCAGAGAGGGAACAGTGCCACTTGCTCGGCCCTCACACTGCTTTTGGTCACTTCCCCCATTTCCCACAAGTAAAGTGCACCATTCTGGGCTGCACTGGTGTTGATTCCCAGATGGGTGGTCTTCTGTACATTCTAGGACCCTGTGAGCCCCTCCAACCGACTCTCCTGAGAGACTGGCAATTTATTCTGCCACTGCAACCTCCATAGACTTTTACAGCCAGAGGTTCTGAGGCTTTATTTTCAGGCGTTGAAACTCTGGGTTTGTGTAGTCTATCTCACTCCCCAGTTGTTCCTCCTGGTTTATCTGCACACGAATGTGAGACTGCCTGGTCCACCAGCTGCCACCTTGTGCTGTACATCCTCTCTGCCCCTCCTACCAGTCTGGATGAATTAACTCCTTAGTTGTTGGACTTCCATAGTTTGATTTTCTGGCAGTTCTGGTTGTTTTTTCATTTTTTAAATTGGTTGTTATCCT